GAGAAGATGGTGGCTGTCAAATGGCATAAGCCTTACAGGAAGAGGATTTAAAACAGAACAAAAAAAACATGGCACTAGAGATTGAACCTAGGGCCACTTTGCTACTGAGTTACATCCCGTTTTTGTTTTTTTTTTTTAAAGACAACAAAACTCAACAGCTGAACAACTGTTGAGGATCTTGCTGAGTTGCTGAGGCTGACCTCAAACTTGTGATCAACCTCCAGCTACCTGAGTAGCTGGGATGACAGGTGTGTGCCACCCACAGGAAGATTTTTTACTTGAAGAAGGATAATCAATAGTCTGGAGACATAGAGGCTGAGAACAAGGAAACTGACCTCCCTATCCCATCCTGAGGTCTGGAGTGTGGGAGAAGCAGCAGCCAAGAGCCTTTGAGGAGCTAGGTTTTAGTTAAGAATGATGTCAGAGAGCAGAACAGAAACCACGGGAGAGGGTTGGGGATGTAGCTCAGTAGTAGAACAAGTACTTGCTTAACATGCATGAGGCTTCAAGTTCAATCCCCAATACCACAGCAGAAAAACAAACAAACAAATAAATAAAAAAAGGTGGGAGGGATGGGAATAAAGAAATGAGGAAACTCCTAAAACACTACTTAGAGATGGGCCAGGACATGACCCTATCTTTGAAGATACTGATATTTAGCTTGTTATTTTAAGTCTAGGACTCTTACATAAACAGTGGTCATTTAACTTATTTTGTTTTAAATTATATTTTGGCACTGGATTAAACATTAATGTTGAAATTCAGAAACAGGCAACAGACTTGAGACTACTGATTGAATTCTGAATATTTTTAATTCCTCGGTTTCTTAAAAATCTAAGCACAGTTTTTGTTTGATACAGATGATGTCTACCGAAGAAAAGCCTCAGAGAGACAGTATCAGAAAGGCCTGGATGACACATCTGAGACTGAACTTCAACAATCAATAAAATGAATATGAATTTTCACTAGTTTTTTTCCTCAAGAATGTACTCTTACAGGCCTGGGGTTGTGTCTCAGTGGTAGAGCACTTGCCTAGCATGTGTGAGGCACTGGGTCTGATCCACAGCACTGTATATAATAAAATAAAGGTCCATCAACAACTTAAAAAAAAAAAAAAGTACCCTTCCAAAGTCTTGTTCTCACAGCTGCACATTATCCTAAGAATTGCCTTTTTAAAGAATTTTCATAGTTTTGCAGTCTCTGCTTGAGTACTTCCCAAATTACTGTTGGATAGTACTTATATAAAGAATATTCCTCCTAAAACACCTACTTATCTATCCAATGAACCTAGTTCCTTTTTTTTTTTTTTTTTTTGTACTGGGGATTGAACCCAGGGGTGCTTTGCCACTGAGCCACATTTACCCAAGCCCTTTTTATTTTGAGACAGGGTCTTGCTAAATTGCTGAGGCTGGCTTTGAACTTGTGATCTTCCTGCTTTAGCCTCCCCAAGTCACTGAGATTACATGCTTCTGTCATTGCCTCTGGCAACCCGGCCCTTTTTGAGACTGGGTCTTGCTAAATTGTTGAGGCTTGTGATCTGCCTGCTTCAGCCTCCTGAGTAGGTGGGATTATTGGCATGTACCATAAAATATTTTTCTACTTTCTTTTTTTGCAGTGCTGAGGATCAAACCCAGGGCCTTACACATGCTAGAGGAAAGTATTATCACTGAGCTACATCCCCTGACCCTGTGAAATATTTCTTGAATACAGCAACCAGGATGCTTTTCAGTACAGTTTGAATTGTTTGTTTTTTAAACAAAACAAAACAAACAAAAAACCCCCCAATTCCCCACCTCCAGGGGTGCTACTGATCTACATCCCTAGCCCTTTTCATTTTTTATTTTGAGATAGGGTCTCATGGAGTTGCTGAGACTGGCCTTGAACTGTTGATCCTCCTGCCTCAGCTTCTGGAGTTGCTGATATTAGAGACCATGTTTGGTGGTAACCTTTCGTTGCAGAATTAAAATTAAGTCATGAACATAAAAGATCTTCATTGTTATGGTCACCTAAACTAGGAAAATTGTGCAGATTACATTTCTGTCTGCTACCAGCTTATAAACTCTTCAGGGGGGTAGTGGGAATTCCTGACACACTAATTCCTATTAGTGCTCTTGTGAACTCCCTTGCATAGGAGAGCAGGACTCCATGATTCATGCCCCTTGATGATCAAAGTGCTGTTCTTTCATTCAGCTGCTAAAGATAGAGAACTGCTCCCTCCCATAAGACAGGGAAACTACAGAGTTGAGCCAGATCAGAGGTGCAGTCTACTGAGTGAGAATATGGCAATGCCATCTAGCACAAGTTTGGGTCACTGGTGGAAAAAGCAAAGGCATATTTACATGCCTGGATAACTACATCCAATATCTCATCTTTGCAAATGAGAAAATACCTACATTCTAAAGAAGACTGAGTTTCAAAAGTTTCTAACTTTTGTGACAGAATAAAGAAGCTGACGCCAAGGGCCACAGGGAATAAAGTTAATTATCTCTGGCACAAATGTCTCCTGCATTTTTTTTTTAAAAGAGATTTTTTTCCTAGTCATGCTTGTCATCTTATATTGGAACAAATGTTGGGTAAATAAAGAATCACTACTCAGATCTCATCACAGATTACCTACGAGTTCAGCATTTCCACTGGGAGTTGGCTTAAGTGTGAAAGCCAGTAATGACCAACACTACCAGGTAGAGTATTGCATACAATCCCCTACCCAGTTGTGTCACCCAAAGTGTGATGAACCTGACACTAGTGATTGAACTGCTGCATAAACTGTATGATTCTCAGCGACACAGCCACATTCTGTATTCCCTCTCACACACTCCCAGTTTTAGAAGTATATTTGATACATATAGAGAATATGTAACACTCAGTCTTTTACAAAGAACAATAAATGCCAATAAAACCATTCCTTAGCTTCTGTCTATAGTGATCCTTAACTGGCTTAACCCCTACTTTTCCCCCAATCATTAATTCTGTGCTATTCTTCTCAAGGGTTTTCCTAGAGAAGTGACTTCCTGTTGGAGTAATTTATTTTATTGTGGTGTTGGGATTGAATCCAGGGGTGTTTTACCAGAAGCTACATCCCCACTTTTACTTATTTTGAGACAGGTCCTTTATAAGTTACTTCAGATCTTGCTAAGTGGCCATGCCTGGCTTTGAACTTGCAGTCCTCCTGCCTCTAACTCCCAAGTCACTGACATCTGTGTGCCACCACACCCAACAGAATGCTGATTTATTAGAGGAAAATAAACTTTGAAAATGCCAGGATAATGCCCAATTTCAAGGCAGGTAGACTAGTAAAGTAATGACTGTATTTAAGACCCATTTTCAGAGCACATTAGTTTGGATGCTATAAGAACTCACCTTTGTTGATCAAGATGCAAGCTTTTTACTCTTCAGCATTAGGGTGCTGGGGAGCAAACCCAGGGCCTTCTGCATAGGAAGCAAGCACTCACCTGAGCTACACCCCCAGTCACCCCCAAAAATCTTTTTAATACTCTTCCTAGGAATATTGACTCTATCCGACTTAAAGACATGTAAAACGAAAAGAAACCCAGTGTTCCTATATGCTGATTGTACAATGGTAGTACCCCCTAGTGTGTGAACTAGAAGGCCAAAAATTTTAAAAACTTATGTTTCAAACATTAAGAACTATAGTACTTTTTCTAGAATGATGAAAACCTAATAAGCATTTATTGCTAGAAATCTATCTCCATTGTTCCACTATGTTAAGGGGAAAAGATCATGAGCTTTAAAGCTTCACTTTATCAGCTGAATTGATAAGGTGAATGGGTAAATAAAAAACGAGGGTTATTTTTGTCCATCTGGCAGTTCTATTTTGGAAGCCTTACCTAAATCTTTGATGTTTTGACTTAATCATCTTGGTCCTCTTTTTTTTGTACAAATTCTTCACACTTAGTTACCTCTCTTTTTTTCTATTTTGGTGGTACTGGGGATTGAACCCTGGGGCACTTTACCACTGAGTTACATCCCTAGTCCTTTTTATTTTTTTGAGACAGGGCTTTGCTGTGTTGCTGAGGCTGGCCTCAAACTTGCAATGCCCTTGCCTCAGCATCATCAGTTGCTGAGAATATAGGTATGTGCCACTGTGTCCAGCTGAGCTACCCCTCTTGAGAAAAATTTAACTCTTTTACTATGGTGTTTTCTAAATCAATTTCTCTCCCAGTCAAGCAGTACCAGTACTTAGACTACATATATATTTTAAATTTGGAGTTTCTTGCCACATTTATGTGCAACCCCCAAGACACGAATACTACAAATACCCAAAATGGGAAAAAAGAACAGTCTTCGTTTGTTTAGTATTGAGTTTTCTTGCATTTAGCTGACCTGGCATACTTCTAAGCAAAAAAAAGGAAGAGTAATGTTTGAAACTTTTTGCTCACAGTGCTCAGCTGGGGTGTTTATTCATCAGTGATCTTTCAAAATATGCTCATGGTCACAGACGGGAGTCCATTCTATACTCAGAACAGAAGGGATTTGCAAAGTGATACTGAGAGAATAGTTGATTTTTTTAACCAACATTTTCTATTAAAAGCACAGTCATATTTTTAGAACTTACAAACATTTTAAAGATATACCTGGGCCACTTTTCTCTGCTGACCACAAACAAGCTGCTAATAGTGGACAGGCTTCCCTCACCTTCTTGCTCTCAGAAATGTGCTCTTCAATTTCAATCTGCATTTCTGCCCATCCTGAGGAGTGCTAGGAATTCCTTGACTGCCAGCCAAAGGGTATGACATGGTATGGGGCACTTCATGCTGCAGTCTGAATACATCTGGCATCTGTGGAAATGCAGCCTGAACCCTGAACCAGGGGGTTGCATAATGACTTGCACTTCCACTTGGGGAGTTTTCTTCCCTTCAATTGGCAATCATATCCTCATCAGCATGAAATTGGGGCTTGCAGGATTGCTTTTCTTCAATCTGCTCAAAACTAACATGTGACACAGCTTTAACAGAACAACCAAACTTGGTTAATCCAAATCACTTTGCAAACTCCATTTTTATTTGGATTAAAAAGCTTTAAATGAACAAACATATGATACATACATGTTATAAGACTAGTAACCACTTAAACCTCAGATGATGATATGATACAGAAATTAGAATAAACCAAATTTTAATCAGGTCTGGAAAGGTTCAAGCTGAGAAGTTAATACCATCAATTTGGGGATTTTACACAAGTAACTGTCCTCCCCTCAATTCTTCCTCTTCGGAAGAGGAGGGTGAGTTAAAAAACAAATCAATTAAAGGCCTTTTAAATCAGCTGACAAACATTCTATTTTAAATCTATAGGCCCCTCCCTCCAAATGAACAAAGTTCTTCTCCACAGGAACTTACATTTTAAAAACATTTAGGTCATTATACTTTCTAAGCCACATTACTACAGTTCCTAAAACTCATGGGAGAAAAGATGTACTGTTTACCTGTACTTTCTTATGTCAGGACGTTTTTATTTTTCTTTTCAGGAAGATGGTTCACCTCAAATCTTATATTCTAAATATTAACTGATATTCTCCAAGTTAGTACATAGAAAGACATGATTCTAAAATAAATAGTTTATTTTATTTTTAAACTTAATTAGGGCCTGCCTATTGGCACCCTGGGCTGGCTCTGCACTGCCTTAAGGAGCTCCTAAGGTACTGGGAAGGAGCCTGGAGGAGGAGCGCTCTGCTTCTAAGTGCCCCTGTGGCCCACAGTGAAGAGTTTTTAGAAGTTCCCCCAAAAAGTCTCATCCAGACCTTAAAAAGGGAAATAAAATGAATGTATGAAATAAATAAATAATTTAACCAAAATTAAGTTTCAGGTTCTTTGGTGTAATTCAAGGATGTCTAAAAAGAAAAGAATCTGATTGCATTACACAGTCCATGATGATTCAATGGTCGAAATAACCAGGAATTGGAGATTTCTTTATCTGATTTAGTTTAACAATAAGGTACTGAAATACTACTGCAATACATTTTTTAAAATTCAAAATTATTTAAAATACTTGATGCAAACTGAGATCCAGTGGTTGACTAATGGCAATTAAATTACAAGGGCCTCCTTGTAATTATCTAGATACAACAGACTTTTTTCCATTCTATACTCTTTTGCCCTCATGATTTATTAAGTATGGTAATTAAACATCTGGGTATTGATTCAGAGCAGATTAAAAGGAAAAAAGTACCCTCTGCAAGTCACTCTCTCAACTTACAAACAGCAGTGTGGAAGCTTCACCTTGACAATGCAACCATCCTGTTACAATAAAGCAGGTTTCAGAAACACACCACCAAGTGAAGTAATGTTCCATGTTTGCAGTTTCCTACCATCTAAGCAGCATATGCTGCCTCCAAATGTTTATTCTAGGGCCATATAAGAAAGACAAGGTCACCAAACCCAAGGGTTTGGGATCCATAATGGTCTCTTTAGTGAGCATTTTTCTTAAATTATGATTCCCTTCTCCTATAATTCAAAAGCACAAGCTAAATTGAAAAACATATTTTAGGAAGAAATAAATTTCTGATTGAGAATTACAACCCTGAAACTTAGAAGAAAAAAAAATGCCACAACTGATAATAAAGAAATAATGACTATGAAACATTTGCAAGTGCAGGTAATCTACCGTATGTCACAATTATGCTCATGACACAGCTCAGATCCAATTACACACTTCCTTCCTTATGTTAAGTGTTATGCTTAAAAATAAATCACCTCCATGCATACCTCTATGCTTTCCTCAAGATGAACTTTGAAGTTTTCAATGTAATAGATTTGAAATTTCAAACTCATCTAACATATATAGGCATAAGTTGTGAATTCATTAGAAACAGATCAAAAGTACCCTTAAACTTACCTGCCAAGACTAGATATAATTCAGGGCTATGAACATGTTCTGCAAAACCACTTGACACCATAGATGTCTAACTCGGCACAAGAAAAACTGCATTCCCTCCAGGAATTTGGGAGGCACACAGGCTGTGGGTGGACACACAACATTGACCACAGATTTCTATAGTGAGCCTCTGAGTTAACAGAGCAAATGTGCCATGTCTCTCAAACACCCATAATCTAAACAACCTTTCAAAGAAAGCACTTCACTTTACCTGTAAGAAACAGCTTTTTGGGAAAGTGGCTTAAGATATTCAGGCACATGAAACATATACAAACACGCTACCCTCTCTAAGATGTAAACTAGGACCAACTTCACATTTCATTGTCAACTTAAACTAATCTGTAAACTCTTGTGTTTTTTTTTTCATTTTTTTCTTTTGTAAAAAAACAAAACAAAACAAAACAAAAAACCCCAAACGAAACAAAACAAAACCCCCCCAAAACCCCAAGCCAAGACAAAACCTTGGATGGTTTCAGTCCCATCGCAACAAGTAAAAAGATAAAACTCCAAGTCTACATATATAACCAATTATGAAACTGGTTTTAAACAAAGGAAACATATGCCAAAAAATCTTTGTGTATTTGATAAAGTCAACTTAATATAACAAAACCAAATTGAAATAGCTTATTAAAAGTGTCCTTATATAAAAATGGCCTTGTGATGTACAGTAAAATGCAATAAAAATCATCATCCTTTGTTCCTTCCCCCCACCCCCAGTAACTAAAATGGCTACTGTTCCACAACTCTTTATGCTTCTATAAAAAGAAAAACAAAAAACAAAACATGATGTTACTAAACGTTTTCTAGGTTGTACGCTTGGCGAATGTTGAGGGTGTCTCGAAGCATCAAATCCCGTAGACGCCAGAGGGCATCTGCCATGGTGGTGTGGGCCCCTTTACTTTTGAGCCAGTGAGAGGGGAGGCGGCTCTCCTGTTCTTTTGACAAATGGACATCACGTCTTCGAGCTGAAAATTAAAGTGTATAGAAAACAGAAATTGGAATTTTAAGGTAACAAAAAGTCTCTTGGTTCTAAAGGCTAAAAGGCTGATGGTTTATTAAGCCACAAAACAAAAAATGTTTTTTATTTTTTTGTACAAGGGAATGAACCCAGGGCATTTAACCACTGAGCCATCTCACCAGCCCCCCTTTCTATTTAATTTTGAGACAGGGTCTCACCAAGTTGCTTAGGGCCTTGCTGAGTTATTGAGGCTGGCTTTGTAATCCTCCTGTCTCAGCTTCCTGAGCCACTGGGATTATAGGCATGTGCCACCATGCCTGGCCCACAAAACATTTAATATAAAAGTGCCTAAGAAGGTAAATATGTGAAGGGGAAATCATACCTTCTACTCTTAAATTATCAAATTTGGTTTAAAATAAAGAATAAGTAGAAACTGTATGTACTGAAAATACATTAAGTCTATTGAAGTAACTTACAGACTAATGGGAACATGTTTTTGATGTTTTTCTTTTAAAAAATCTGCCATCTACACTAATGCCTGAAAGATAATATACTTGAAAAGATAGTTGGGATGCTTATAAACAAAACTAAGCTTTGAAATTAGTTTAAAAACCCATTTTTAGAGTGTGATGTCAATGTGTAAAAAGAAGTTCTAGGCCATTCTAAGACATATAATTTATTGTACAGGTGTAAGAAAAAGGGATGTCTGCTAGCTGGGCACAGTGGCAGACACCTGTAATCCCAGTGGCTTGAGAATCTAAGGCAGGAGACTTGCAAGTTCAACGCCAGCCTCAGCAACTTGGTGAGGCCCTGTCTCAAAGGGCTGGGGATGTGGTTCAGAAGCTAAGCGCCCTTGAGTTGAATCCTTGGTACTCCCCTATGGCCCCCCAAAAAGGTGGAGGGTGTTTGTTAAGAGCTAACAGTATCATGAGGAGGAAGAACACACTTTGCAAAGGCTTATTTAGAAGGACTCTCCTTACCTGCTAGAGTTTGGTCCCATTTGCTAATGCTATTGGACTCAGCACTGAGTCCTTCAATGTATTTCAGGTAGGCCTCGGAGTGAAGAAGTCGCTGGGTCTTCGGTGGGGGAGCCACAAACATGGGTGTTGTTGGCTGCTGTATAACAGGAGGTCCAGTTGGATGTGGGCCAGGATATGGAGGTGGTGCCTGCTGTCCTGGAGGCCCCAAAACTCCCACCTGAAAGAATATGTGACCACATGGTGAGACAAAAAGATACTCTGCATTGTTGAGAAGGAAGATGTCTAGAAATCTCTTGAGTCCTAGGAAAATCAAACTGGGGGCTCACCTGTTGTCCATATGGACTTCCACCTGGTGCTGGAGTCCCTACCATAGGGGCCACTCCTTGGTTCATCACACCTATAATTCAGAATGCAATGATACAATTAGAGGCTCTGGGTTGAGATGATGAAAAAAACTACTGTTTGATAAGAAATGATGTCATTTGATAATGCCAACCTATGCACCTCTGCCCTTGAGTGTGGATAGGAAACCTAAGTATCCAGAACAGGAGTCAAGTAGAAAATCTGCATTCCTTGGTTTCTAGGTACCTAATGCACAATGCTAGTAGATCTTGTCAGATGTACATCCATTACTCATAGTTTAGAATTGATTTGAACACTGCATAAATTCTAGTATTTCAGTAAGTGAGTTATAGTCAGAATACACCTCTATTTTTAAGGTACATTTCTTGCGACAACTCATTATTCTCCAACTGCAGCCTGTGGAAATGGTATTGAAATCAGGCTCAGCAGTAAGCAAAGTGCTAACATAGGAGGGACATGATAGAAGAGGTTGTGGAAGTAGTTAACTGGGTTTTGTAGAGGTTGGAGGTGCTGCCTTGCTGTCTCCTTGCAGACCAGACCATCAGCATCTAGTTCTAACTGGAGTCACTAATGCTGGCAGATGAAACTTCCATGTGATAGAACAGTACTCTGAAAATGGATGATGTATTAGTGGAGTAGTCTTGCTGCTATTGCTTCAGATGCAAAATGACAAAAGAACAAAGACTTCATGACCCTACTATATTTGTTCTGTCTCTGGTAATAATTAAACTTCCCTTGCTGAATGTTCACTAGTAATTGTTTGCTGACAATTGTTAACAATGAGATATCCTAAATTTAGTGTCTGAGGCTATTTTTATCTCAGGGTCATCTATTTACTATTCAGGTAAAATATAAAAATTGGCAAGGGACCCAGTTCATTAAAAACTAACAAACCACAACTAAAACCTTGTTAAGCTGTTTTTTAAGTCCTGCTGGCTATGTAGAAGGAACTAACTTCAAAATCTATAGTTCCTCTGGATTAAAAATGCTGGCACTTGATCAGGCAGAATCAACCCATTATTCTAAGGTTCAGAGTTGTTAAATGCCACTTCCAGGAAGTATAGGCATCCTCTTATATGTTAAGAGAAAAAAAAAATCAAGTAAAATCAAACTTCCATTTAAAAAGCAGGGATTTTTTATATTTCAAGTACTTAGAAGTGTACCTGGATCACCACAGTAGGATCCTGATGGTTATCTGTGAATGAATGAAGAGGCGGTGTTGGGTGAACTGCTGCTTCAGCAATATATTACTAGACCCGGCCCCTTCCCCAGGATACTCACCTACCTTAGACTCCACACATAAAGGGGCTCCCTAAGATGCCTACATCATTGCTTTGCAGGGCAGCACAAACAAATTAGCAAACCCCTCTTCTCCCTCTGTTTACAACTGCCATGCCAGGGGCAGCCAGTGACAATGTGAGCTGAGTGACCACAGGAATTCCCTGAATCCTGGGTTCCTAAAAGCCTGATTAGACATGTGCATGTACATACCAAGGGGGTTCTTTCCTGTCTCCCTCACTATAACCAGGGGTGTTGTGCTTCCTTCAAATGTGATTTAGAATCTGAAAGAGGGGATGGGAGAACAGGTATGCCCCACACCCACCAAAAGACAGCTCCTACCCAGGGCCTTAGACATGGCTTCCCATTGAGTACATACATCTAGAAGGGACCAACTCCAACATGGTCTCACTGACTCAGATACCCTGTGCCAAGGTGAGAGGGCAGAGAATTAAGGCCAAGTCCACCCACCACACGGGTATACCTATTTTATGACTGACTCCTGCTGCCATAGCAATTCACGCAATAGGTCACCATTTCCAGAGAGAAACACCTACCTCCAAAAACATTTCCTCCTCTAGGAACATGTGGAAAAATACTTCAGTGGAGTTATAGCTGTTATCTAAGCAGTACTCACAAAGAGTGTGGCTGGAGGCTCCAGGTCAGGCCACCAGGTTTGTTAACCCAACACACTGCTGTATCTAACCTCTTCAGCATTGTTTGGACCCTGCAAAACTCTATGGTCTCTAGGTCCAAGACTGGTATAAGCAAACCTGATAAGTTTCCAACCACATTTTATCTGGGTTGGGCTCTTACCCGATTATCTTAGATAATGGAGCAAATACTATTCCAAGTTATCTAAAGGCCACATTCCTTCTAATAGATTATAGCCAAGAGTCAGTTCTTTTGCATATGATGGCAATTAATATGAGAAGCTACAATTTTCCTTTTTCTTTAAAATAATCAGCTTGCTAATTCATTATAAAGTGAAACTAAATGTAGCTACTTCTGGGCTCCATTTATATACTATACATGTAAGAACTTCTGCTGACAGACAAATCAGTGTTTACTAGGGTGGGCTAGGCTGTTCTTTAATAGCAGGGTTGTTTGATGAGGAGATGAACTCTACACAGAAGACCATGTGAGGTAAGAATTGCACTAGATGAAAAAATGCATTCAGATGAAAAAAGCATTTTAATATGATCCTGAGCTAGCAATCTGGGAAACTTCATTCCCTGATCAGAGGGTGCAAGATTTCTAGGCTGGCTGGCTGGCTTTTTGGCATATGTTGTATTATTTGAGTATTTGTCCTGCCTCTTGGTCTGCTGAGTCTGGCTTTTGCCTTCTTGCACCCTGTGCTACTGTCAGGCAGCCAGGTCCACAAGGGCACAGGTGCTGTGCCACCTGCTTAACACGTTCTAGGCCCTGTTGCTGACAGCTCTGGGGTACTCAGTGAGGGAAGCCTGGCCATAGTGGGCAGCAGGTGTCTCCTGGAAGAACTGGCTGAGGGAGGAAAAAGAGAATACGAAGATGAGATTAATGAGTGAATGAGGATGAAGTTCTTACCCGGTGGTGGGATGCCCGGGAGGCCGGGCACACCTGGCGGAAGATGGTGGGGTGGAGGCCCCCCAGGGTGAAGTGGCTGCATGCTGCCCATGCTAACAAGGCCATCAACTGGGCCCTGCAAAGGTGGAAGGCCTGGCGGATAGCCACCCATCATGCCTTGAAGGACACAACAAATTTCAGACATGCATCATTAACATGCAACATGAGCTAAGTAATAACAACCCCCCACATGCACTATCAACGAATAAAGCACCCTTAGTACTGCATGATATAACAGTAATTAGTGCAATTATTTTGTTGCAATAATGAACAAAATAAAAAGCTACACATATGAAACCCCACATTTCTAGATGAATTAGTACTTAGTACATTATTGTTTGTAGTTATTTTCACTGGAATAAATATGCTATGTTTTCACTTAAATAATAATGAAGAGGAGTTCCAGTAACAGCCTTCCCAAAGTCCAAATTACTGCAAGCTGTTCAAGGAGAGTGACCAGTTCTGCTGACTGCAACTCTAATTGAACAGTACATACCCCATCATTCCACTCTGCCCACACTCATATGCCTATCATGGGTACCCATGAGGAGAAATCAGAATGGAGGGAAATGAAGTGCAGAGTCCTGATCAGAAAGCATGGTTCTCCAGCTTGGGGGCAAGAATTTTTCAAGGCTTTTACATCTACTCCTTCTCCCTTCTAGCCCCACCACTGCAGGTAAGAATGAATTGTGCTAGGGTTTGAGCTGGGGAACAGCTTCTAAGAGCCATCACAATGAATAATATTTCATCTTTAGATCTCAAAACTTGTTTAAAAAAAAAAATCTAAATCCTCCCAAGCCAACCAAAGCTCGGGGGCACTCAGAAACCTACATGCAGAGGTACAGCTGGAGAATCAGGCTCTGCTGACATGAGAAAATGCCAATTGTCATCACTGTCTCCAAGCTCACAAATGTCGTCATATAAACCTTCAGTTAACAGGGAGCATTTTAATCAAGGTATAGAATTTCTGTTCACAGAGGCTTTTATTTCTTTATTTTCAGAGCATACCTTCACAGAACAAATATCTTCTGCTGGCTAGGGAAGAGTTGCAACAAACAAGTATTTTTGGCAAAAAGGGTGAAAATAAAATATTTTCAAATGTCAAGGACTCCCTATCAAAAAACCCTTTAAGATCACATAGCATTTTTTTTAAACAAGAAAAACAACTTGACTTTTCTGGGATTTGTAATGATCATGATGAACAGAATTTTGAAAAGCTTCCCATGAAGTGCAGTCACTTGATCATATCTTCTTGCAAAGGGAGAGTTAAGGGACTAGTGCCAAGCCTAGTTTTTATTCAATACTCTTTGTAGAGGCACTCTGGGAAACAGTGGAAAACTCCAGATTCTGAGAATTTCTTTCTGACTTTTCCTTAGGAATTATTCTAAAGTATTTATTTATAAAAAGTTTAGTCTTTTAAAGCTACGACATCACTGAAAATCCTGAGATTGACTACCTTGTTTCCTTAGTCATATATAAAACTGAAAAACTTACAATTATACAAACCAATAAAACAAACTTAAAATAATATTTCTATACATGAAACAGGACGAGTTTCATTTGTTAAAGAGTTCAGAGAGTAAAAAGTACTTCTGAATAGACGCCATCATCTAAACATGAGGAGATCCAATGCTACCAAACTGCCTTTTAACCACACCACAAGGTATAGCTTTTAGGGATAAGTAGGTGAGAAATTTAAGAATGTTAGGAGGCTTTGCTTTCAATTACAAAAGCCCATCTGAACGCAGCCTTCACAGGCTGTGATTGAAGATTAAGAACTGAAAGACATGACAATTGTCTTCATTAAACTGTACTTTGGCATTTATTATCCCAGTCACATGTGTTCAAATGAGCTTCAATGCTTGTAAGCAAAGCTGGTTTCAGACACTGACAAGGCTAAGTCTCAGGCCCTAAGCAACCTGTAAACCCGTGAAAAATCACCCTCTTAGCTTCAAAGTTCCCACTGTGGACCAAAGACTGCTTACCATCCAGAATGCTTGCCCTTCACTCCCAACACCCAGAAATCTGGGCAGCACACCCTTAATAATGGAGTCGGGGCTTTCTAGAGGGACCAAGGTTCTCACCCACAGAGCTCTATGATGTTATTCCCTAACAGGGAGCTAAAATGCTGCAGCTGCTGTTTTTTTAAATGTTTTGAGCTGTTTGTATTCATTTTGTAAATATGTCCCTGGGTTTTGTAGTCAAGGGCACAGTGCCACAATATCACATCAAATAGAACAAAACAGGATGTCAATGAGGGAATTCTAACTTCCAAAGTCCCCATGTTCAAGGCCTGATTTATAAAAACTTCTGGAACCCCATTAACCAAAATGGGCCATGGAATAGAGCAGGCGATTATGAGATTTGTTAGATCAACATCAGTTACACTGAAAGTACTGACAGCCATGATTCAGATGTGCTTTGGCGAGTGCAACTGCTGAGTTCAGCGACAGCGCATTTGAGAACTTGCCATCACAAAAGTTAGGAGCAACAATGGAAAAGTTATCCTATGCTACTCTTCCTTAAAAAGCAAAAACAAAAACAAAAACAAAAATAAAGCAAAACAAAAACAGCATCTCAATGAACCTGCCTTGAACAACACTGTCTTGGGCTCCCTAAGAGTTCAGACTACTTGAGAAGAAACACAGGTGGCACATACAGATCTCACCAGACTTGGAGAGATCACAAAGGAGGGGCCCGAGAGGTGGTCTACAGGCTTCTCATTGGAGACATGTCAGACAAAGATATTCAATCAAGAATAGTCAGATTTGCTAAGGCTACCAGAACCAAAGACAACACACACAAGCAAACCACATTCATCATTTTCTTTTTGCTTTTGGTTTAAATATGTGACTGGGATACTAACAGAAAATGCAGTTTAATGTAATTAAATAGAAAAGCATTACAGAGTGGGCACAATGAATTGAATAAGGACTTTGTATTCTATTTAGCAGTCATGCACATTGGTGACCAAGAAAGGATTTACAATTCATTGTCAAAAATCCTTTTAAATGGTCAGCCTTTAAAGGATGGCTGCAGCAGAACAACTCGAACTGAATACTGGCATGAGACAGAATATCAACACAACCTAAAGACTGGCTTTGTGTTTTCTCTTGGGAGTTCTCTAGAATATAACTTAGGGTCTATTTATATTTTCTACTGTAGTGTTCTATCAAGAACAGTCTAGGGTGAGAATATCACCAGACCATGCCCACAGCCAGGGAAGAACTGCTCCCTACTAGGTCCCAGGGGTGGGCCCAGGGCCCATTTCTGGGGCAAAGGGAAAGCATTGCCCATATGGGAAAGGCAATACAGGACAACATGGATGATTTCAAACTTTGAATCTGTCATGAGAAAAGGCTACAGACTGCGGCCTACTCCTCTTGGAGAAAAAAAAAAAAAAAATGAAGGAATTTCTTAAAGTGGAAAAAAAAATGGTCTTAGCTCCTGTTTTTACCTGCAACAGGTGTCAACTGCTGATTGAGCATCCCCATTGGTGTTGGTGGTGGCACCACCCCCATGAGAGCCCCCACAGGGGTGCCTGCTCGGGGAGAAGCACTCGGCTGTTGTTGCTGTGCTGCTCGCTCTCTCTCCTGCTGCTCAGCAACTTTAGCTGCCCGCTCTGTAAAGGCATTTCAGATTTTCAATTCTGTTTTTAACCCAGGAATTCAAAATACCATCCATTGCATTCAACAGGACTAGTAAAAACACAGGCAACAGTTCTGTCTCAATGGAAGGAACAGTAGATGACTAGTCTCAACACAGGAGGAGTCGGGCCGATTTCACTTGGTAACCTAGAATCCAGCTTTCCTATCCCATCTTGAGAACTGGTCTGCAAAGATTTCAAGAATGTTAAGACTGCAACACACATTCAGAAAGCACAGATTTTATTTAAACACATCACCAGCGTAACCACCGTGGTTAATCTCACGAGGCACCCTGAAGATGAGAAGCGCTACCATTATTCTAGTATTAATAGCATTACAGATTATTTATAATTTCAACATGAAGCAATTCCATGGCCCATTATAATTTTTGGCACAATTGTTACTTACTATATTTTCCTGATTCCATTTTACTCAATTTTACTGAGATTGAGGACTCTTTATCATTAGTATCATAGGTTTAGCAGCTGAAGAAAATTAACTCTGTAAGGGAAAAGTAGCTTACTGCCTGTTTTAGGGAAAGTAAACAGCTAATTTCTATATTCTAATGAACCAAAGAGGTCACACTTAATAAATCCCAGGGAGAAAAAAATGTATGATACTCCAGGCTACAATAATCAGAAGCAGGTAATTAATATATAAATGTACGTAGCAATGGACGATGTTCTAAAAGAATCAGGTTTCCTGAAGCTGAGTAGTTCAAAGCTGACCATAAATCATCCTAAATCAGCAAGAATTACAGAATCCACAATGCAAGAGAAGTATTTGCCTGTGGTATTTCTGGGCTGGACTGTTACCTGTCCCCCTATCCCCCACTTCTCTGCATCTCCAGAGCCAGCAAACCCAACAGTCATGTTCCTAGCCTAACAGGCTGGATCCTTCCTGGAGAAGTAGTCCCAAAGTTCCCACCACACTCAGTTTATTCTGTTTCACCATTCATAAATAGCAAATGCTCCCCACTCTTCAGATGGGCAAATGGAGGATGGGAGACAGGTAGTCACTTGTTCAAGGATACAGAGAACCAACAAACCATGACCCCCACTCCTGATAATCACAGTCAACTGCCACACACTAATACTCCAAAACATGGAATTCAAAAGGATACCACTGATCTGAGGAGGGGAAAAGAGCTCAAGGTCATATGGCTTTAAAGAGAAATTGAGAAGCAACAGCTCCAGTTTTCCTTTAGGGTAAAGAATGGGAAAGTCAAGCAAGTCAAAGGCTGCTGGCTGAGACAAGAGTTGCCTACAGAGACTTATTACCACTCACTGACACTCCCAATTTCACACACCCTCCGCAAACTGAGAACACCAGCATGAGGTTGAGAACACCAGCATGAGGTTGAGAACACCAGCATGAGGTTGATAAAGGCCATTTGAACAACCTATTTCCTTGAACTAGCAATAAAAAAAACCATTGATGATCTACACCTCCATGTTAAATTCTAGTATTTTCATTATACAAAGGACATGGTAAAATGGGAGAGCAAAATAAATAAACAACCAAACAAGCAAATAAATAAATAAATAAAAATTTAAAAAGTTTGAAAAACAAATCCAGGCCTGTGCATCAAATATTGTGACTATCTGTTGGATCTCTGTGGGAGAAGTTCATTTGGGCTGTCCTGGAAAAAAAAGAATCATTACAACTAAGCCAGTCAAACTCCTAACTCTGGGTTTTGAGTTCATTGGGTGGGGAGACCAAAAGTTCAGAGTCTTAGGTAAGACTCATAGTCACATAACTCACCTGCACTAGGTTCTTCCTAAACTTGAGATCCCTATTTGAGTGTAAGAGAACTTTCTAAAATCCATCAATCTCTCCCTCCCTGCACCAGTGTTTCTACCTTTACATTATCTCCACATCTTATTCACACCTAAGTAACCAGTCACTCAGTCCTGGCTTTATTTGCCTTGGAACTGGTTTTACATCCATATTAGCTTAATTTCCAACACTCCTTCATCTTAGTGATGTATTTGGTCTTGATTTGTACTAAGGCAGAAATATCAAAGTTCTAGATTCTTACAGAACTCACTAGGATTTAAAGAATAGTTCTTCAGGATATTAATAGGTAGGTACACAAATTCCTGGTCAAATTTCAGAAAATGCCAGATAATAAAAAACAGGATCTTTAGAGACTAACTTAGGAAAATGGTCTTAGAGACTAATTAGGAAAATGCACTTTAAGTTTCGAAGATAAAGAGCTTGGAATGTTGCTCAAATTGGTTTTGCCACAAAATGCTTTCTGATTATCTTGCAGGATTAGGCTTCTGCAGAAGATCCTTAAAGAAGCCTGCCAGTTAATTTTATAATAATCAATTGTCACAAACGAAAGGAACAAAACTTTTTTAAAGAGTTTCTTTGAAGATTCATAAACTTCAATAAAGAGGGCAGCCTTAACAATTAATTTATATTTGCTGGAGTTAGCCAAAAAGACTAATGTTTGATCATTACAAGAGGATGGCTCTAAACTATCAAAATTCTATATAAAATTCTAAATGGAAAAAAATATAGCTCAAAGGTACAAAGTCCTGCCTAACCTAATGTTTAGTATTAATTTCTTTATCAAAGCCATGCCTAATATTAAAAACAATAATAATAACAAAACATCCAAAACACCAAAAATCTCTCAAATATTTGTTCCTAATGACTAAGAACCACCAAATCCTTGAATGATACATAGCTCATGGCTCAAAGTGATATAATTATAGAGTAAAAAGAAAATAAAGGCAGTGGAACTCAAAGAGATCCCAAATGCCTTAACGATAGCTATGAATACAGCACAGGTCACAAGTTGCCTAGCAAATTAAGTGCTTCAGTCAAGCCTTAGCAGAGAGTTTAAACATATCAAGAAACAGAAGATCACTTATTTCAAAAGTCCCCTTTCGGATAAATTTTAATCAAAATTATATTTAACATCATCATACAGTCATTCCCCAGCTCAACATATGTTGGGTGCTTACAGAGCTCAATGAAAGAAAATCATGCAATTTTTAACAGTAAAAATATTTTTTTTTGAGAAATTTGGGGAGGGGACAATACTAGGATCAGAGGCCAAGTCAGGGGTAGCAATCTGCCTAGTCAGAACAAGACTGGCATCTATTCTGCTGGTTATCATCAGGAACAGTCCCCAATACAAGGTTCATGTGTGTGTGGCAAGAACAAGAGAGTAAAACCTGTCTATGCACGTGCATTCCTGAAAACACCCCCTTGCTTCAAAGGCTGAGACAGTTGTGCCTAGTCCCTATTTACCTTCATATTCTGCTTTCTTGGCTGTCTCAAGGTTTCTCCACTCTGTCCCCACCAGTCGGCTGAGCTCCCCAAAAGAGTAGTCTGGGTGCTGGGCCTTAATCACAGCTCTCATCTCACTGCTGAACAGGATGTAGCCACTCATGTTGATTTTCCGTTTGGAGCCTTCCTTCTTTGCACTGCCTTTGGCAGACTTTGGGGTAGACTGTAAGACAGAAAACTCTTATAGTGCATCAGAACATTGCATTTAATTAACCGCTCAGAGTTTCTGGAAGCCAGGAACATGTGATCCAAAAGTTACTGTTTTATAGCACAGTTTGTAGCTGGCCATTTTCTTGGTCAAAACATACCTCTTTCTTGCCTCTTACCGTGTAAGAAATAAATCAAAGTTTCACTGAATTCCATGACTGCAATCTCTAATGATGACCTCATAATTAAGCTTGAGAAAATTCTGAATGAGAAAAAAATACCAACAGGAATCACCTCAGCCAAAGATGAGGTTCTAAGGAGGGAGAGATTTAAAAGATTTGGGCAGTGGGCTAGGCACAGTTGCATATGCCTATAATCCCAGCTCCTCCAGAGGCCAAGGCAGGAAGATCAAGGGTTCCAGGCCAGTCTGGGCAACGCAGTGAGACCCTATATTAAATAAAACTGAAAAAGGGCTGAGCATGTAGCACAGTGGTAGCATCTTTGCCTAGTGCATGAGTCTCTGAGTTCAATTCCCAGAACTGTAAACAAACAAAACCCCAAAAAATAAGAACAATGAAAGCTTAAGAGTAACAGGATGATACCATTCCTTTACTGCTTTTCTTTAATAGAAAGCAAGGAGAGCCTTCTAATTAAACTTGCCATTAAACAAGTTAAATAAAACTCAAGAAGATTTAAATTATTAACAGCTTAATCACATGATAAATACAAATGTTCTGTCAATTAAAAATAAAATATATAAACAATTAAATACAAGGCATTGATAAAGAAAAAAATCTGGGGCTGGGGTTGTGGCTCAGCGGTAGAGTGCTCGCCTAGCACATGTGAGGCCCTGGGTTCGGTCCTCAGCACCACATAAAAATAAATAAAATAAAGGTATTGTGTTTGACTACTTCTAATAAACAAAACAAACAAATAAATAAATAAATAAAAGAAAACCCCCCCCCCCCCCCAGCCCCCGTAGAATTCTAGGTAGAGGTTCATATATGGAAGGGCTGGATGTCTCCTTAATTTGGTTTGTGCCAGCTGCAAACCAAACTTGAGAACAAGACAAGTAAAAGGAATGTGTCACCTTTACCTGTGGGGGTGTGTAGGGCATGAGGTCCAGTTCACTGGACAGGGGAGTCTGAAGCTGAGGTAGAGAAGGAGGTTCAATGACCTCACTATCTTCTTCTCCCATCTCTTCAACATCCTCATCTCCACCTTCTAACTCAGCAAATTTAGCTTCTAGCAATTGGATCTTCTTTTCCAACAAAGGTGAGGGCTCTTTCTGAGGAACAATTGGTTTTCTGAAAGAAGTGACATTAAAAAAAATAAAACAGTCAGGTGGGCACAGTGATGCTCACCTATAATCACAGCTACTCAGGAGGCCAGGCAGGAAGATTTTAAGTTTGAGGCCAGCCTGGGCAAGACTCTGATTCAAAGTAAAAAATAAAACAGGCTAAGTATATGGTTCAGTATAGGGTGTCCCTGAGTTTGATCTCTAGTACTTCAATCAATCAATTTTTAATAAGTAAGTCACTTATTGTGACTTGTGCAATCTGCAGTGTATACTTTAAAGGCAGTAAAGGAATTTAATAGGCATTTATGAAGTCACTTCTACTTAGAAAAGCTTGTTTTTGAAGGATCCCATGGAACACCCACAGAAGCATTTTGCTCAAAGTCAGAACCAGTTTTCTATACATGGCAGAAAAAGTTCTCATAATCTGTGGAATGGAGCACTCTCCTCAGAGAGCATATGAAGCAACTACTTCTGTCTTCATTTTATAAATACTGGCAGCTACAAGGACACTGTTAGAGCAGTTAATGGGTCCTAGGAGATTATAAAGCTTTTCTTTTCATATTTAACTGAATTAATATTTTCTATTTGAAATGTATACTGCTCTAGTTTAAGACCAAATTTTAAGAAACTCAAAACACTGGACTATACTATTTTGATATGAATTAATTTTTTTCTTTTTTTTTTTTAGTTGTAGTTGGACACAATACCTTTGTTTTTATTTATTTATTTTTATGTGGTGCTGAGGATCAAACCCAGCACCTCACACTTGCTAGGCAAGTGCTCTACTGCTTAGCCACAATCCCAGCCCCTGAAATATTCTTTTTCCCTTAGTTTTTTAAGATCTACCAGGCTGGGAATGGTGGCAGATTCCTGTAATCCCACCGGCTCAGGAGGCTGAGGCAGGAGGATCGAAAGTTCAAAGCCAGCCTCAGCAACTTAGCAAGACCCCATCTCAAAATAATAAAAAGGGCTGGGGATGTGGCTCAGTGGTTATGCACCCCTGAGCCATTAGGTTTAATCCCTAGTACCAAAAAAAAAAAAAAAAAAAATCACCTGAAGTAGTAAATTTCATCATCTACCACTTTAGCAGAGAGTGAAAACCTCTTCAGTCCCTTGAATTTCTTCATCTGCTTGTCACTCTCATTGTAGCGACTCTCACAAAGCAGAATGTCATTTTCTGGTATTTCAGTTGGCCTGCAGGAGAGGAAGTCCTTGAATGACAACACAGCACACTTTCCTGAAAGAACAAGTTGGAAAGAAATTAAAGGAATAAATTGTAGACATAGTTTATAATTTTTAAAAAATTTTATTAATTGTTTTTTTTTTTTTGGATACTAGAAATTGAACTCAAGGGCACTCAATCCTTGAGCCACATCCCCAGCCCTATTTTGTATTTTATTTAGAGACAGGGTCTAAATAAATTAGTACCTTGCTTTTGCTGAGGCTGGCTTTGAACTTGTGATCCTCCTACCTCAGGCTTCCAAGCTGTAATTTTTAAAAAATGTAGCTGGACACAACACATGGTATTTATTTTTATGTGGTGCTGAGGATCGGACCCAGTGCCTCACCCATGCTAGGCAAGCACTCTATCACTGAGCCACAACCCCAGCCCCTAAGCTGTAATTTTTAATTAATACATTCATACTGAGATATGAGTAGGTGGGCTTTTGGGAAAAGAAAAAGAACAAGAACGCCTTAGTATGGAGACTTGGATCTATGAGTATGACCAGTCATACTTGTCCCTTCAGTCAGATGAACGAAACCTCCAGTTTATGCTTAGGCCAACAAGAACAAATACAAAATTAATTTAAATGTCACGAGATTCAAAGACTTACACAATATGCCTATAAATTATTTATGGCTTGATTACATAATAACAGAGAAACATTCTGATCTCCAAATAGCAAATGATTGTCATAGGCCTTAATTTTCAAAAGAGTTTTGTCTGAGAACCTCCATGCTTGTTCCCAGAAAAATTATATATATATATAATTGGAGAGCTTGACTCAGGATGTAGCATTCATCTCTGAGAAGTGAGGGGCACCCTACTCTGGAATGTGTACACCTCTGATGTTCTTATATAAATTTCTGTGCCTTGCTTTTAGTGCATCCTGGAATTTTTTTCAGTAACAAAATTAAGAACCACCCAGACTGAGCTGAGGTCTCTTTCCAATGACAACATGACACAAAATTATTAATTGTTTTCTTGGGGTACTACACACAGACAGTAGGACTGACAGTCTACAAATAAACCCATACAATTGGGTTTTTTTGGTAACTCATTTTCAACAAAGATGCCAAAGACAATTCAATGGGGGGGAAAGAATAATTTCTTCAATAGATGGTTCTGAGACAACTGGATTTCCACATGCTAAAAATGAAGTTGGAGTCTTATATCAAGCCACATACAAAAATTAATTCAGAATCAAAAACATGAATGTGAGACCTACAACTACAAAACTCTTAGAAGAAAACCTAGATGTAAATCTTTATGACATTTGATTAGGCAATAATTTCTCAGATGTGACACTGAAATAGCACCAGAAACTATAGAAAATGAAGGATAAACTAGACTTCACAAAATTAAAAACTTTTGTTTTCTATAGGATACTATTAAGAAAGTGAAAAGACAACCTATACAACAAAATATATGTGAATCATATATCTAGTAAAAGGCTACCGACTGGGGTTGTGCGTCAGCACTTGCCTAGCACACGTGAGGCCCTGGGTTCGATCCTCAGTATCACACAAAAATAAATAAAATAAAGGTATTGTGTCTAACGACAATTAAAAAGTAAATATTAAAAGAAAAGGCTAGCACCAGAATATAAAGAACTCCTACAACTTAACAATTAGAAGACCAATAACCCAATTAAAAAATGAGCAAAGGATCTCAACAGACATTTCTCCAAAAAAGATATACTGAGTGGTAGACAAGTACATTAAGTAATGTTCAACATCATTAATCATTAGGGAAATGCAAATCAAAACCACAGTGAGCTGGGCACAAGAGCTCATGCCTATAATTCCAGCAACTGAGGAGGCTAGGGAAGGAGGATTATAAGTTTGAGGTCAGCTTGAGCAACTTAGGAAGATCCAAGCAACTTAGCAAGACCTTATCTCAAAAAGACTTGGGGATGTAGCCCATTGGTAAAAGCAACTCTGGGTTTAATCCCTAGTACCAAAAAAAAAAAAAAAAAAAAAAAAAGACAACGGTAAAATAAATAAATGTGTCAGGAAGGATAATGCAGAAAAAATGGAACCCTTGTACATTGGTGGAGGGAATGTAAATGATGTAGCTGCTGTGTAAAATAGTTTGGCAGTCCTCAAAAAATTAAACATAGGGGGCTGGGCTGTAGCTCAGTGGTAGTGCACTTGCCTAGCATGTATGAGGCACTGGGTTCGATCCTGAGCAACACATAAAATAAATAAATACAGAATTACTGTATTACCCAGTAATTATGCTTCTAGGTATATATCAAAAATAATTGAGGGGCTGGGGTTATGGCTCAGTAGTAATGCACTCGCCTAGCATGTAGGAGGTGCTGAGTTTGATTCTCAGCACCACATAAAAATAAATAAAATAAAGGTATTGTGTCCAACTACAACTAGAAAGAAAATAATAATTGAAATCAGAAGCTCAAACAGAGACTTGTACACCAATAATCACAGCAACATTACTCAGGACAGAAAAAACTCACACGTCCATCAACAGATAAATGGATAAATAAAAAGGTGGTTTATATCTACTATGGAATATTACTCAGACTTAAAATGGAATAGAATTCTGATACCTGCTACAGTATGAATGAAAATTTTATGCAAAGTGAAATAAGCCAGACACAAAAGGACAAACATTGCATGATTTCACTTATACAAGTACTGCAAATATGCAATATTTACACAGAGAGTAGAATAGAGACCACTAGGGGTAGAGGGGTAGTGGGATATAGAGAATTGTTGTTTAATGGACAGAGTTTCTATTTGGCATGCTGAAATTCTAGAAATAGACAGTGGCACTGAGGATACAACCGTTCAACTTCTCAGAACAACAATTACTTTTTTTTTTTTTTTAATAAACAATCACTGGATGCCAAAAAATATGGCCTTACAAACTACTGCCACAGAAGTTTACAAAGCAAGAGGTCAGAGAATGAGAATGGATGCTAAAGGCAGATTTCCAGGTAAGGTCCACTCTGGCCCCTCTCTGTTCCACTCCTAAGGAGGTTGCTGTGGCCAGTCAAATGGGGCAGTGCAGCCTAGGAGCAGTTCAGCAACTGAGAGATTCTAGAGATCTGTAGCACAGATTGGCTCTATTTCTAGATTGTTTATTCACTTGGGGACCTTTAGAGGGTCTATAGCATGTCTTCAATTAGGGTTGGTCATACTCAGCTGTACCACTAGGTTGTTCAGGTCAACTGGTCTGGAGCAGGGCCTGGTGGCGCACACCTGCAATCCCAGCAATCTGGGAGGCTGAGGCAGGAGCATCAGAAGCTTGAGGCCAGCCTCAACAACTTAACAAGATCCTGTCTCAAAATAAAAAAATAGAAAGGATTGGTAATGTGGCTCAGTGGATGGCAAAACTCCCTTGGGTTTAATCTACAGAACAGGTGTTAGGGGGAAGACTAGGGGAGATACTGGTCTCTCAGCCACTTTGCTGGCTGTTGTTCATTCTGAGGGTATCTATCACTTCCTTTTCATTGAATTTCATCTCCATCAGGGAAATGAAAACCTGAGCATCAGCTCCAAATTCTCTTTCCTCTGAATCTTCTTGAAGATTTTTGTTGGCTTATCTCTGGCCTCTTTGTTTACTGTATTAGTCTCAGTAGCAGTCTTGGAGGGTTCCCTGTCTTGTCTAGTGGGCCTTTGCTTGATTAGAGATGTCTACAGTTGGGCCTTCTGAAAGCTCAATTAACTACTCCATGGTACAGAGTAATTCAGTCAAAGGGATCTTGTGGCTCTGCTCTCAGGAAAGTCCATCACCATGAGATGCTACCATGGAGCTTCATCCACTTGTTCATCTTCCTCTTTGTTCAATATAACATCTTCCTTCCTTCTATTTTTTCCCCCTTTTCCTGTAGTGGGGATTAAACCCAAGGGCACTTTACCACTAAGTTACATATCCAGCCCATTTTATTTTTATTTAATACTTTTTTTTAGTTGTTAATGGACCTTTTTATTTTATTCATTTATATGTGGTGCTGAGAATCGAACCCAGTGCCTCACACATGCTAGGCAAGTGCTCTATCTGAGCCACAACCCAGCCCCATCCAGACCATTTTATTTTGAGATAGGGTCTTGCTATGTTGCTGAGGCTAGTCTCAAAATTGAAATCCTCCTGCCTCAGCCTCCTGAGTACCTGGGATTAAAGATGTGTACCACCATGCCTGGCTACATTTTTTTCCCCGCTTTTAAATTTTTCATTTTGCGAAAGGGTCTTGCTAAATTGCTGAGGTTGGCCCTGAATTTATGATCCTCCTGCCTCAGCCTCTGAAGTTGCTGGGATTACATGGCTCTTCTATTATTTTTGAGAAAAGGTCTCATTATGTTGCTCAGACTAGTTTCAAACTCCTAGGCTCAAGTGATCCTCTGGACTGGGTAAACTTGGGACTATAGGAATAAGTCACCATGCCTGGCTCAACATTTGCCTTCTAAACATAATTCAAACATGCCAGAGTTCATTGTTAATAACATTTGTTCCACCTTCAATAAGTTCACACCAAGATTTTCCAGAATTCTGTCTATAAGTCTTTCATGTTGGTCTAGACCACAATCCACTCCATACAGTAGGAGAGCAAGATGGCTACTGCTGGGAATATTGCATCTCTATGTTTTAGAATAACTGGGACATCTTTATCTTGGCTATTCTCTCCAGAGATTGTTTCAGTATCATTCTTGGAATAAGCAGATATTAATTTGTGATGGGTTACTAACACTTTGGGGATCTTCTTATTCTTTTCTTTCTTTTTTTTTGGTGTGTGTATGTGTGTGTGGTGTGCTGGGGATCCAACCCAGGACCTCACACAGGCCAGGCAAGCGCACTACCACTGAGCCACACCTCAAGCCCACTTTTAGGGTCTTTTAAACTCCTATAAACACAGTGCTAGAAGCAGCACACTCCTTTGAGCTCTATGGAGGGATTGGTAGTTGCTTTCTCCAGTCACTTGACATCACTGGCTACGTTGGTGGGCAGCTGCAGTACTTTGCCTACAAAGATCTTTTCTTCCTGTGGCAATACCATAATGCCTCCACTGGGCCCTGTACCTGTCACCTTGGCTCTTAAGGTCCCCAGGAAGGTGGGTAGAGTGTCACCTTCTGCCCACATGTGCCATTGTTGGGACACTTCCATCCCTGTCACTTGCAGCAGTGTAGGCAGTTTCCTTGCTTCTGCCACTTGGAAATAAGGATTCTGAGTTTCTATAGTTATCTGGGAACCTAGAAGGCCATGCATATGCAAACGGTAGGGTTCATGATCAGAAAAGACCTGAGAAGCCCCTAAACTCTCACCTGTGGCTGACCTTTGAGCTTTGTGCAAGCAGGAAATAAAGGCAGAGATGTAAACTGCATGGCTAAATGCTGAATGTTGGTGTGCTCCAACACACAGAGGGAATCCAGCTGCAAATACTGGGAGTTTTTGGCTCTAGGCATTTAAGAAAACCTTTGTCAAATCACTATCTGATCACTAAGCTGAGAGAACAGAGACTTCAGTGACCACACACAATAAAGACACAATTTAGGGCTGGGGATGTGGCTCAAGTGGTAGCGCGCTCATCTGGCATGCGTGCGGCCCTGGTTCGATCCTCAGAACCACATTCCAACAAAAGATGTTGTGTCTGCCGATAACTTAAAAAAATAAATAAATATTAAAAAAAAAAAAATAAGACACAATTTAAAAAATGTTACTGAACAAAGAATTACAATCCATAAAAAGCAATAACAACAAAGCCTAAGAAGAAAGGAGAATCTGATTTTCAGAGTTACCACACTGTATATTCAAAATGTCCAGTTTCTTTCTTTCTTTCTTCTTCTTTTTTTTTTTTTTTTTGTACCAGGGATTGAACTCAGGGGCACTTGACTACTGAGTCACATCCCCAGCCTTATTTTGTATTTTATTTAGAGACAGGATCTCACTGAGTTGCTTAATACCTTGCTTTTGCTGAGGCTGGCTTTGAACTCGCCATCCTCCTGCCTCAGCCTCCTGAGCTGCTGGGATTACATCTTCTCTTTACCCTCTGCCAGTAGTAGGGAATGAACCCAGGACCTCATCATGCATACTAGGCAAAGTACTCTACAACTTAGCTATATCCCCAGCCCTTTTTATTTTTTAATTTTGAGACACAGTTTCGCTAAATTGCCTAGATTGGCCTCAAACTTGCAACCCTCCTGCCTCAGCCTCTTGAGTAGTTGGCATTAGAGGTATGGGTCTTTGTGCTGACATAATATACTTCCCAACTACTCAGGAGGCTAAAGCAAGTGGATTCAAAGTTTGAGGCCAGCTTAGTCAACTGAATGAAAGCCTGTCTCAAATAAACATAAAACAGGATGGGGAAGTAGCTCAGTGGTAGAGTACTTGCCTAGCATGCACAAGTCCCTGGGTTCAATCCTGCAAAAACAAAACAAACAAACAAACAAAAATCAAAACAACCAAACTATGAGCAATCAGGGGTTGGGGGTACAGCTCGCTATAAGAATATATGCTTAGCTTTCATGAGGTCCTGGGTCAATTTCCAGAACAAGAAAACAAAAAGCACAAGTCATCAATATAAAACTTGTGAGACTAATAATCTTTTAGGAAACCATTACAAAAGATGTAAAAACTCGTGTAAGTAAGCTCTAGAGGTGACTCAGGGTCAAGAGAACACAATAACTGAAAACAAAATATGATGATGGATACAACCAGATGTAGGAAACAGAATATAACTGTGAACACTCAGTAGATGATAGAACAAAAACCAAAACATGCAACAGCTACAATAAGATTACCAGGATTTAGAGTCCAACACAGACCATGAGTTTCTTTTCTTTCTTTCTTTTTTTTTTTAAGAGATACACAGGAGAGTTTATTTGTCAGAGCTGACAAATAAGAGCCATCTCTCCATAGACAGAGAGGCCCCATGAGGTTTTTTTGGTACTGGGTATTGAACTTGGGACGCTTTACCACTGAGCTGCATCCCCAGCTCTTTTTATTTTGAGAGTCTTGCTAAATTGTTTAGGACCTCACTGAGCTGCTGAGGCTGGCCTCAAACTTGCGATTCTTCTACTGCTTTAGCCTCCCAAGTCACTGGGCTTATAGGCAGGCATGCACCACTGTGCACAGCGGACTATGCCTTTTTTTGTTTGTTTTGTTTTTTTGGTGACACTGGATATTGAACCCGGGGCACTCTAACACTGAGCTGCATATCCTCAACCCTGTTATTTTGCAGTACTGGGGAGGGAACCCAGGATCTTGCGCATGCTAGTGAAGCACTCTACTATTGAGCTACATCCCTATCCCCATTTTTATTTTGAGACAGAGTCTTGCTAGTTGCCCAGGTTGGCTTGAACTTGTGATCCTCCTGCCTCAGCCTCCCAAGAGGCTAGGAACACAGACATGTACACTGTGCCAAGCTCCTGCTTTATTCTTACAAGAGCCACAGTGATTCCTCCTTCTAATGTTCGTACCAGCTTATACCACCACTGTGCTCAAACCCCTCCCAGGACTTCCTATCCACTCCAAGCTCAACCACTGCATTGTTTACAAAGCCTACTATGACTGGATGCCCAGCTTCCTCAGAGGGCTCATTCCCTTATATACCACTGCTCTGTTCCAGTCACCCAATTTTCATACTATATGTCTGGAACATGCTCAGATACTCTACTTTAAGGCTTTTAGCTGTGCCTATAAGAGAGCAAAACCTGATATTCAAATGCGCTTTTTCCTTACTTCTCTAGGGTTCTGTTCACATGTCACCTAGCAGCAAGGCATTTACTGAACAAAGGACCTTGTCTCAACACTACCCTCAATCCTTTTACTTTATTTTCATTTATAGCTCTAACCATGGCTTGATATTCTACACATCTGTTCTTTAATTTATTTACGGACTCACCAATCTTTGCCCCAATGTAAGTCTTTTAGAGGGCACAGACTTTGTTTTGCTTATTGCTATATACCTAACATCTAGAATAGTACCTAGCACAAAAGTAGTATTCAATCAAATTTTAAGCAGTTAATGGATTAAATGAAAAAATATAAATACCTACCCAGAATACATGTCATGGGACAGGTTTCTTCCAGATTACTCAGAAACACTTCTTTTTTGTAGAACATTTTTGTGGGCTCATGCTCTGTTTCTTCTGGGTGAATGAAAATGGGGCCATAAAAATATGCAGCTCCATCTCGGACCCACACTTTTTCAATTCTTGGGGGGAAAATGGAGAAATTACATGATAATTCCATTCTTGAAGGATTAATCTAGTAAAAATTCTATTAGCCAAAACTTAAAGAGTATGTGCCATTCAACAGTATTTGTCTTACTGAAATTTATATAACTTCATTAATTGCCCTCCTCCTTTAAGCATACAAGATACTTAAAAAGAAAAGAACACAGGGTCCCACTTATTTGAAAAAAATAACCATAATATCAAGAAATGTAATTTAATAGTTTTATCTGACTCTCAGATTTTCTTCCTGAAATATGCATATAAAACTAGAACTAAGCATCTTTTATTGGGCCTGTAAGTCCAATGAAGACACACAATTTCAATATTTGGAGTTGAATCACATGAATGGCAGACATTCCTTCAACACAATGGTTCATAACCTTTTTGAAAGTCAAGATCCAGTCGGGTTCACCCCTTGAGAAACTGATGAATGCCAATTAACACCTCCTTAGGAACAACAACAAAACATTAACATTGGCTACTATGTACCAGATACTGTACTATTTCTCACAACCAATAAAGTTGATATTATTGTCCCATATTCTTGTGGTTCCTGGCATGAAGTAGCATCTTCTCTTCAGCTAATAGTAACTCTAACCTTCCAGTTCCTCAGGCCCAACACACAAGTCACCCTGCCTCTCAGACCTCACATTCCATTTATTAAGTAAATTATTAATTTGACCTTCAAGGTAGTACACTTTGCAACACTCTGGTCTGAGACACCATTATTCTTGCTTGGATTATTTCAACGGCCTGAAAGATCTCCTTGTCCCTACTCTTGATAGTCTATTCTTAAAAACCAGCAGGCAGAATAATCCTCTTACAACCTAAGTCAAATGTCACTCTGTGCTTGAAACAATACAATGTTACTCCATTTAACTCCATAAAAGTATAAGTCCCTACAATGGTTTTTGAAGCCCTACATGATTTGCTCACTACCACTGGCCCTTACTTCCCAACTAACTCTTCCCTGGCTCACTCTGCTGGTTGCAACTTCTGCTGGTTTGAACAGGCCTGGCATACTTCTCTCTCAGGCCTTTACACAATCTGTTCAACTTCTCCCTGGAATGCTTTTCCCCTGTACTTTCAGAATTCTTACCCTTCTGTTTCTTCAAGCATTGGCTCAAATGCCAGCTTCTTACTGAAGCCTGTGCTCTAGACCATCCTCCCTACTCTCACTGTACACATCTCTCTTCACCCAGCTCTATTTTTTCAACAGCATATATCATGATCCACTGAACTACAATTCTACTTATTAAAGATGTTTATTGTTTATCTTCTCACCAGAACAAAGTTCCATGGGACTAAGAACATCTGTTTTATAAACTAATGTATTCTCAGAGCCTGGCAAATAATATAGTAAATGGTTACTGACTGATGTACAATGAGGAAGAAACAGAAATAGAGGCAACTCATGTACTTAAGAACATGCAACTAGCAGAGCTTAACCAAGATCTCCTAGAACCAACTACTGGGTTTTTTGTTTTGTTTTCCTGTTTGTACACTAGGAATCAAAGCCAGGGCCTCTAGCATGCTAGGGAAGTACTCTACTACTGAGTTTCATCTCTAGCCTTCAAATACCATTGTTCTTAACCATTATCATAATGATCAACTGAGTACCTGACTCCTTGAACTTTTGCCATCTAACATTCCTTACATTAATTTACTTGTTCATAAATATATGAGCCCCTACTATGTTTCATGCACTGATTTCAGCAGAGAATACAAAGTTGAGCAAAAACAGAGAGTTCCTATTTGCAGGGTATTTGGAAATTCAAGGTATGGAAACTAGACAATATAAATATCCATGTGTGATACTCTTCTTTCTTTTTTTTAATATTTATTTTTAATTTTGGGTAGACACAATATCTTTATTGTACATTTCTGTGGTGCTAAGGATCGAACCCAGTGCCTCATGCATGCTAGGTGAGTGCTCTGCCACTGAGCCACTAAACCCCAGCCCCATGACACTCTTATTTCTAACAAGGAAAAACATAGTGCCTGGGGGAATGGGAAACAGGGAGACAAGCCAGTATACAGGTAAAGGAAAGGGTTCTTTAAGGAAGTACTATTTCAAATTTAAGCTTAGAATTACCATACAAAATGGGCAGGGAGATTTCTGAGCTGAGAGTTAAGTAAATGGTGGGAAGAATGTAAAAAATGTGTTTTTAGAGGTGAAAGCAGGGGAAGCACGGTGTGAAAAGCAGCTAGACAAATTGCCAGGGGAGGGACTTATGTCTTAATTATTCATGTCTACTAGCCCCAAACCTCAGAGTCAACTTTATCTTCCCTATTTCAAGGACATTCACCTGCCCACGCGGGGGCGCACCAGACCATGGGACTTGATGAAGACACAGTCGCCAACCTTCAGCCACATGTCATTGTAACGAAGCTGCTCAAAGTAGTGGCAACCTGGTTCACCGTTGGACATTTCCACAGGGACATCTTCTTTTTCCTGTGGTAAAGGAAACTGGCTAAAGAAAAGCAGCTAACCATGAAGGACAGGACAGAGAAGAAAAGAAAGCAGGACTTTCCTTCACATCAATGTAAGGAAAAAAAAACAACTTAAGTAGAAGTTTTGATGAAGGTTAAGAAACCAAAAAATTAGGTGGTTGAAATTAAACTGCTGTAATCACTAAAATTTCTAGATAATTTTCATAAAATAACGTTAGCCTAAAATGCTTTTATCCCCTCTCCCTCTTTCCAATTTCTGTATCTTTGAGTCTGGCAAGGACTTATTAGCATTCAGAATTGGAAAATTTCACATACTTTTATAGATAGAGTGTATAAGAAGCAAACTTCATATAAGCTCCCCATTTATTGTACTTACTTGAGCTCCCTCAATTCCTTTTATTGGTTTTTAAACTTTTTTTTTTTTAAATATAAATTCAGCCATTCAATTTTTAGGGTGGCAAAGTTCATTTACTGTCCATTCTGAAAAGTAATACTTCCTTTTTGTCACCTCCAAGAACGAGAAATCAAGTAAGATGGTAGTTGCCCAGCCTTTGTGACTTATTTGTGTACAGAAAGAGTCTGTCTTCCTCTACATCTTTTCAGTTTTAACCACTGATTAAGTCTTTGAAGAAACAAGACAACTGGGAACTCCTTTGACCAGGGGATTCACTCATCAGGACAACAGGAGGACTCCCTCCTCACACCACAGAAGTGCCCAGCAAACTCATCCCAGACAAAGTAGGAAAGAGGAGAACAGACAAATTTTAGGAGATGCACCAGAGTGACAGGGTAAGATTGGCTTTGAAAAATTTGATACAACCCTCTCTTCTCGAGGCTAGTTAATCATCCCTGGAAAGGTAGGTAAGAACAGACCAGGAATGTGGAAGGTGCAGAAGCCACAGGAACCCACACCACCCAGAGTGGAAAGGAAGAGAGGCCACGTTAGAAGCCTTCCTTCCCTGTCAGGACTCCTCCTTTTGCCACTCTGCCCTTAAGGGCCCATTAATCCTCCCAATCTGGTCTCTTATCACCCAACCCAAGGAGTACACTTCTACTATAGGAAAAAAATACAGAAGAAAGAAGAGAGCTAAAGCTAAAAGCCTGGCACTCTCTGCTGCCACTTAGTTTCTTCACATTAACAACTGACAGACTATTTTACTATTTATGCCAACATGGAAAGGAATAGTAGAACCTGTGTCATAAACACTCATAATGTTTTTGAATAAACTGCTGGATCTGTTATCTACTAGCTGCTGTGAGGGTGGGCAAGTTACTTGACCTCTTGTGCCTTAGTTTCCCCATCTATAATATAAAGATCACCGACAGTGTGCCCACCAAACAGAATTGTTCAAAAGCTTAAACAATATAATTCATGCTTACCTACACAGAATTATTAACATAATGACATGTAAAGACTTTTGTAATTTGAACAATGCTTGCATTCCTAGAATGTACTCCTCTTTCTTTGGTTAAGTTTTCTAAAAAAATAATTTGATTTCACTTAAAAAATAATTTCCCCTAAGAAATTTTTGTCCTGGTATTCATAAATGAGACTGAGCAGTAATTTTTATTTTCAAACTGTGGAATCCAGATTGTTTTGGCTTTATAACACAACTGGGGAGTTTTCTTTTTCTCCATGCTCTGAAACAGTTCAAATAGCATTTAAATTATAGGCCCCTCAATTAAATAAAGGAAAGCTCAGTACTATTTGGGATTAGCTTTTTGACATTTTCAGTTTCTTCATGTTGTTCACTTGTGCTGTATCTCTTCCCGATTCCACTTTGACAATTCATATCCTAGAAAATTATTCATTTTATTTTGGTTTCCAAATTTATTTAAAATGTACTGACTAAATTTCTTCCACCTTTTGTCTGTCTGAGCTTACTACCCTCCCTACCTTCTTTTACCTTTTTTGTACTTTTTGGGGATTGAACCTAGGGTGCTTTACCACTGAGCCACATCCCCAGTCCTTTTTATTTTTAGACAGGGTCTCGCTAAATTGCTGAGGCTGGTCTCAAACTTGCAATCCTCCTGCCTTAGCCTCCTAAGTTGTTGGGATTACAAGTGTACACCAACATACTCGGCCTCTTTTACCTTTATTAAGAGAGTTGATAGTTTATTTCATTGGACTTGTCAAAGAATTAGCTCTTAAATTTACTTTTATTTATTTAAAGATTATTGGTCTTATGGTACTGGGAAATGAATCCAGGGCCTCAAGAATTCTACACAAGTACTCTACCAGTGACTACATCTCCAGTCTCTGGATTTACTTTTTAAACTCTATTTTTTGCTTCTGCTCTTTTGTTTTTTTAAGTACTAAGTCCCCCCCCCCCCCCCCTTCCTCTGAGTTTCCTCCTCTCTGTTCGGCTAAGGTTTCATACTGTCAATCATTTTCTGAGTTTGAATACTTTAATCACTTGTCTTCTGGAACAGATATTTGGAGGTGTAAAATTCTTTTTTGTGTGTTTGCTATCTACATACCTTTTCCAAGTTAAAATTATCTTCAACTCGACTGTCCTCTGAGTTATCTGTATTCTTCTCATCATCCCCTTTATCTGCATTTGCAAATACAGAGGCAACTCGAACCACAGGCAGAGGTACATCTCGAGGGACAAATCTAACTGAACTGATGGGCATAGTCCACAATTTAATTTTCTTAAAAGATTTTGTTTTAGCAGAATATCGTGATTCACAGACAAAAACATCCTCATCTCGAAAGCTTTCTGGGCATAATTTAAAGTATTCCTATGGGACATAAAACGAGACAAGTCAGGTAAATTTTCTGAACAAAAACAAAAAAGTAATACTAATCAACCAAATAAAGGTTAAACTATGAAGACTTTCTAGCAACAAACAGTAAATGACTAGAGATCTAGGAATATTTCCTTGCCTACTGAAATGATTAAACATATACCCTTTAACTTATAATGTGAACAATTCCATTTAGCTTATCGATTATCCTTTGAGAATATATTAATATTTCATAGAGTTAGAAGTCAACAGCTTTGGACAGGACTCATGTACCTCTATCAGACAGATATACAAAAAGTACATCTTATTACCTAAAAACCAAACTAATAATGTATAGTGATTATTTTCAGAAAATATCACTCTTAAAATTAGCCTGGCAATAAGTTAACTTCACACAGTTAACAAGTGTAGGCAGGAAATGGTCTTTTGCAACCATATTCTGGTTAATTTCTCCCCAAATCTCCACATAGAGCTATACAGATACAGCTTAAAAACAGTTTAAATTTTATCCTGAGCAAATGATTGATATTTTTAGAACTAATTGATTTTCTTACCTTGACAAACATGACCACACATTTGCCTAGAATTTTACTAACAGGAACTTTATTGTAATAGTCACTCTTAAAAACTTCTTTTTCTAGAAATTTTCGCGTAGCCAGATGGAATGTTTCATTTGGCCGATAAAACCAACAGCCATACAACCATTTTTCACCTCAAAAACAGAGAGAGAATCATCATTAACAGAAACCACACATTCTTGTCAAAATGAGGAAACAGGGGCTGGCTAAGTGGTAGATTGTTTGCCTAGCACGTGTGGGGCACTGAGTTCAATCCTCAGCATCACATAAAATAAATAAATAAATAAAGGTATTGCGCCATCTACAACTAAAAAAAAAAAAAAAATCTAAAAAATATATTTTAAGGGCTAGGGATGTAGCTCAGCGGCAGAGTGCTTGTCTAGCACGTGAGGCGCACTGCATTCGATCCTCAGCACCACATAAAAATAAACAAAATTAAGCCATGATGTCCATCTACAACTACAAAAAAAACTGTTTAAAAAAATAAATAAAAATAAAAAATATATTTTTAAAAAATGAGGAAATAATCCATCAAGTCATTATGCCATGGTCTAAACATATAGCACTGGGCTTTTTCAGAAGACAATTTCCTAATTTCTTAATATAATTACCTTATAAGGAATTATACTTTAAAATTGTGAAGTAGAAGGAGGACTAAAAAAAAAAAAAAATGCTACTTTTCCACTTACATTCAAAGACATGCATTATGTAGAAAAAGAAAGGTAATGAGATCTGTTGGGGTCAACACACACTTAAGTTCTGTGGTTTAGTAAGAATATATATAGATATACCAAAGGACATAGCATACAGCTGAAGGAATTAAAAAATATCTCAGGATGGGCAGTTGACAAAACTAGATTGCCTGGATTACATTTTCCCCTGTTTTTGGTTCCATTAACTTTTTTTTTTTTTTCTTTTTTTTGGTACCAGGGATTGAATCTAGGGTGCTTGACCATTGAACCATATCCCCAGCCCTTTTTATTTTGAGAGAGGGTCTCATTAAATTGCATAGGGCCTTGCTAGTTTATTGAGACTGGCTTTGAACTTGTGATTCTCCTGCCTCAGCCTCTTGAGTTGCACTTGGCTGGTTTAATTAACTTCTCTTCATTCTCCATGTCTCAAAGGCCATTTTTCTAGAAAGACTTATCAATGACAAATTCTAAGTCACAGCACAGTGTCTTTCTATAATAATTTATTTTTTCTTATCTCCAGCCCAAACCTTTCTGTTCTGAATCTCTGCCATCCTACATAGAGTTTGGTTCAAAATGTGTTTTTAATAGGTTATCAGTTGAATGAATAAATTTCAACTAAATTTTAAAAAAACTTATTTTTCTCATTCAACTATGACACTGATGCTGCCCAACAGTGTTATACTCTGGGTTTATAAGGAGGGTATGTATTCACATTTACTGATATGATTACATTTATTGAGACAAGAGAAAAACTATAATTGGAAGGCATAAAATATCTGAATTAAAATTTCTTTCTTGAGGAGCAAGAAGAAATAAAAGAGCCACATCTTCCCAATGTACCTTTGATTTAAAATAAACTTACCAGCTGAATCTTCCCACAGTCTCTCAATACAGACTATATGTGGTTGTAGGTTGGCTTCTGCAGGTTCCACATAGACATAATCTCCAACATGGTACATGCTGTTCTTAAAGCTGCAGTCCTGGCTGTATGTGCGATGTAAGCCTGACAGGCCAGTAGCACCTGACGAATCTTCACTCTTTTCAGCTTCTTGTGTTAAAAAAAAAAAAAGGTACTTACTAAAAGAATGCTGCAATCAGATGCAGGATTCAAACAACATACAATAATACATTTAATTCTGTTTGTCACATTCAAAGGGAATAGTCAGAAAAAACAGTATGATCTTTACATTTTCAATATTGCCTTATTGGGGGTGTGGGGGGGTGTAGGGGTCCTGCAATGTTGCTCAAGCTTTTTTTTTTTTTTTAATTGGTCTCAAGCTGGTCTTAAATTCATGGGCTCCAATGATCCTCCTGCCTTCCAAGTAGCTAGGACTACATGTGTGCACCACCACACACAACCTCAAAATTGCATTTTTGAATTATAATCAACTGCCATTAATTTCAATAAACCCATGAGATTCTATACATTAAAAATAATCACCTTAGTAATATATGCCATAGTCATTTTCAGTAATTCAGAAAGGTATAAGGAAGAAAATAAGTCACTTTTAGATCATGTAATCCTAGAGAAAACATCTGATGTACTTCTACTCTATCCTAATGTTCCTGAAAAAGTTTTTCCTAACAATTATTACATGGTTATGTCACAATTAATGGAGTTTTAGAATTGAGAAAATATGGAATATGTGTATTCTGTAAACCATGTGTATGTGTGTGTGTGTATGGACGTACATATACACAATATATTATTAATATTTTCTGAAATAAAATGCTTTTGTTCAATAAAGACTTTTATTTTTGTTAAATAAAACCTTTTCATAGTTCCAGTATAAGCTATCATTTGCAAATACCACAGAGTTTTTTTTGTTGTTGTTGGTGGTGAGGATAATGCTTCGCCCACCTAATTGATAACTTCCTTAGGATAATTTTACATAAATAAAAGAACTGGGAATAAGCATTTAAAATGATTTTTAATGCACATTCCAAATTAATCTCCAAAAAGAGTACATCAATTTAAGTTCCTTACTGATTGGCTACAAGGGGCCTCTGTCTCCATTCTCTAATACTGGCATTAAAATAAAAAAAAAATAGTTTTGCCATTTTTTTTTTTTAAAGAGAGAGGGAGAGAGAGAGAGAGAGAATTTTTAAATATTTATTTTTCAGTTTTCGGTGGACACAACATCTTTATTTTATTTTATGTGGTGCTGAGGATCAACCCAGTGCCCTGTGCATGCTAGATGAGAGTGTTACCGCTTCAGCCACATTCCCAGCTCCAGTTTTGTCAATTTTGATGAAACGTTATTTACCAGCAGAATAAGCAAATCCCTTGACATACAAAGTAGACCAAAAGGTTCTTGAGAATTTTACACCAGCAAAAACAATATCATGGACAGACAGGGGCACAGAGTACAAAAAGTCTGAACAACCCCCAAATTCTAGATACAGGAAACAGGCTGATAAAACTAGTTGCAAGCATTTTTCATGAAAAAGGAGGATTTCAAGGGCTGAGTACTAAGCCAGAGGATGTTCTCAGTCCTAGAAACCCACTGGGATTTGTTTAGATGCATTTAAAAATTCCTTGAAATCAGTAATACTTTTTTCCATCTCCCTGTTTTTGAACAGAAATATCTATACATGTCTCACTGCCTTCAAGAGCAGAGAAACCGGCTCCCTCCCAGAGTTGTATAGGTCTACAGATAGAAAGGAACTGTGTACCATGATGTTTTATATCTACAGCCTCATTTGGGACTTTTGAGCTGAGGATATTTAGATGAGGTTTTGGTACCTCTTAGAAGGGCACTACTAGTAACAAGTACCTAAAAATATGTTAGTGGTTTTGAAATTGTGCAACAAACAGACTGGAAAATTTCTCAGAAGTATGCATGGTGGCTCACAAATTTGAGGCCAGCCCCAGCAAGTTAGTGAGACTGTATCAAAATTAAAACAGTAAAAAATAAAAAAGAGAGATGTAGCTCACTGGAAATGCTGGGGAGCTAGCTCAGTACAGAATAGCCCTGGGTTCAATCCCAAACAAACAAAACCCAAAAAACAAAACAACAACAAAGAATTCTCTTTTTCGGGGAAGCATGATGACAAAAGTCTAAATTGCCTTGGATAGACTGTTAATAGAAAAATGGCAACTTTTTTTTTTTTAATTGCTGGGTATGGTAGCACAAGCCTGTAATCTCAGGTACAGTTACTTGGGAAAATGGAGCAGCAGGAGAACAAGTTCCATTCCAGCCTAGGCATCTCTCTAGACCTTGACTCAAAAAGAGCTAAGGATGTAACGCAGTGGTAGAGAGTCCCTGGGTTCAATTTCCAGTACTACACACACACACACCAAAAAAAAAAAAAAAAGAAAGAAAGGAAAAAGAGATGGACAGCATGCTAAGAGCTAAACAGCTAGAAGGGCCAAAGGGGTTCCCTATTTAGTATAAATCCTTTTACTCCTTTTACTCTTCACCCTTACCCTCAGATTTGTCTGGAATCTGAATGAAGTCTTGGGAAGGGCTGAGGTGGGGAACTGAAGGCTCAACTGCTTTTAGACTTTCAACCAGTCCTCCTGTTTTCAGACCCACATGTATTTCCACTTTTAGAAGTACCTAGTGTTCTACTCCCTGTGCAATTCTGAGACAGGAACTGGCCTGTTTGAAGGACTTATCTACTATAGATACTGAAACCAGTATTGCAACTTACACATCAATTTTCCAGCCTCCAAATTTTAATTACCACCATCTCCTTGTCCATTAATTTCTTTTTTAAAGGGATGGAAATACTTGTGTGTTTGTCTTTTTTATGCTTTTTAAAAATTCCTTTTCCATCCTTTTAGAGGTGTTTTAAGAAGGAAGAGCAGTAGGCATTTGTGAATAATCTGCCGTACTTAACCATAAGTTCTGTTTCTTTTTCTTTGCTTACTTACCATTGTATGAGACATTCTGGGAGTTAACACAAAACAGGGTAAAATCTTCTAGATTCCCTCGTTTTTTAATCTGGTTGTTGCTAACAATCCTCCTCTCATGGCTTAAAGACAAAGAGGGCTGATATACATGACCATTATTCAACTTTCTGGTGTGCTGCATCTTTTAATGTTCATAAAGTAACCACAGATATCTGAAGCAGACTGTAGTTCTTTTATGGCAAGAAATAAATTGTTAAAATAGCTCTCAGAGTATACTGCTTTTATAGCCTTTCCTAGTCAGTTCTTCCTACTATTGACTCTGCATACTGTTTCTTACCTACTTCTACCACCCAATCACACTGCTGGGAAATATAGTCTTTGAGTTAGTACAAGAAAAAAGGTAAAGTGGCCACACTTTGAGAAATGTCTTAGAGTAACTCCAGAAGAAGCTGTTTCTGATTTTATATTGCTGGGAAAAGAGTCAGCTAAACTTAAAAACACACAAAAAAATTCCAAGTATTCAAAACTTGGCAGGTAGAAATAACTCAGATCGTCCAAATATCTTCCCAGCATAGCACTGGCATTTCCTGTTTTCTCTTTATGGCTTTCTGCTGTTTTTTATTATTTCTTCTCCTCCTACCTACATTGTGGTATGCTTGTGTCTCTTTTAATAATTTTATATCTTTCTTCCTTTCTAATATAAGTATTTAAAGCTATAAAGTTCCTTCTAAGAAAAGTGTTAGCTTTATTCCATAAATTTTAAAACATTGTTTTCATTTCAAGATTGTTCTGACTGCACCTGTAATGTCTTCTTTAATCATGGGTTATTTACAATTTCTAAGCACTGCCTCCCCATTTCTTTCTGTTGCTAAATTACAATCTAATTCCATTGCATTTGGAGAACAAACTTGGTATGATTTCAATCTTTTGGTTTTAAAACTTGTTTTATGACCTAGTATATGGCCTATTCTAGATAATATTCCACATGTAATTGAAAAGAATATGTATTCTATAGTAATTTGGTGTAGTGTTTGACAGGTCAAGGTGGTTCACACTGCTATTCGAGTCTTCCATATGTTTACTGATTTTTGACCTAGTAGTTCTATCAATCACTATATTCTTGTTAAATTCTGTTTCTTCTTTCAATTCTGATACTTTTTTCTTCATGTATTTTGGAGCTCCATTGTTAGGTGTATATACATTTAAGAATATTCTGTTCCTAATATGTTAAGCCCCATCCCTCCCTTTTTTGGTGGTACTGGGGATTGAAGACAGGGACACTCTACCACTGAGCTATGGCCCCAGCCCTTTTTATTTCTGAGACAGGCTAAGTTGCTGAGGCTGGCCTCCAACCTGGCAATCCTTCTGTCTCAGCCTCATGAGTAGCTGGAATTACAGGAGGGAAACACTATGCTTGACATATACGTTGACTCTTTTATATGTATTAAATATCCTTCTTTGTCTTTAGTATTATTTCTTTTCTTAAAATCTACTTTTTCCGCTAACAGCTATTCCAACTCTGGTTACAGTCTGCATTTTTCTCTCCTTTTCAACTTATTTGTGTTTCTGAATATAAGGGAATCTCTTGCAAAAAGTATATAGTTGAATCTTACATTTTAAATTCCGTTTGATTGGAAAGCTTAGTTTATTTACATTTAATGGAATTACTGCTGCTACTATGTTTGTCATTTTGCTTTGTTATCTGTGAGTCTTATGTCTTTTTGTTCTTCTTTTCCTCCTTTTATTACCTTGTTTTATAACTGTTAAGTTTTTTTTTTTTTTGCAATTCATTTTAATTCCTATAGTTGGTTTCATGGATATTGAGGCATTTCCATATGCCTAAATGTAGCACCATCTCCTTAATTTTATAAACACTGAATTTTCAAATTATATGGCTTAATTTTTTTTTTCTTTTGGCACCTGAGATTGAACCCAGGGGCACTTAACCACCGAGTCACATCCCCAGACCTTTTCATTTTTTTTTTTACTTTGAGACAGGGCCTCACTAAGTTGCTGAGGCTAGTTTTGAACTTGCGATCCTCCTGCCTCAGCCTCTAGAGTTGCTGGAATTGCAGTCTTGCACCAGTGTGTGCAGCTTATGACTTAATTTCATTAAATGTTACAACTTTGCTCCAACATAGTTACATTTCTCTTCCTTTGTGCTTTTTATTTATTTTTGGGTGGGGCTGGGGAGGGAAGCCAGGACATTCCACATACAAAGTAAGTGTTCTACCACTGATCTATATCCCCAGCCCCCTTCCTTTGTGCTTCCTGTCATACATATGACTTCTATAAATGTTATAATAATAACCTTATAGTGTTGTAATTACTGCTTTAGACAATCCAATGTTTTAGACAGAAATTTTAAAAAATGATAAACAGAGTCTTTTACATTTATCCTCATATTTTCCATTTCCATTGCTCTTCAGTTCTTACGGTTTTGAGTTATCATCTGGTATCACTTTTCTGGGATTGAAGCTCTTTTTTTATGTCTCATAGTATAGGTCTGCCAGCAGCAAAGGCTCTTAGTTTTTATTTATCTGGGAACATCTTTATTGCAACTTCATTTTCAAAAAATATACAAATCTTGATTTAGTTCTATCTTTCTTCTCTGTATTTTTTGAATATCATACCATCACCTTCTGGCCTCCATTATTTTATATGAGAAGGCAGCCATTAATCAGATTATTCTTTTCTTGTATGTAATGAGTCATTTTGTTGCTTTCAAGATTTTCTCCCAGCAGTTTGACTATGATGTTCTAAATGTCGTTCTTTTTGTGTTTAGTTTACTTGGGGTCTTTGGAGCTTGTGAACTTGTGATGTTCTTCATCAAAAAACATCATTATGTCTTCAAATATTTCTTCTTCCCCCTTTTTTCTCTTCTTTCCTCTGAGATTACTATTTAGGTATACCAAGGGACTTGACACTAGGGGTTGCTGCTATGTCTCGATAGTTAGGGGTCAGCTAATGATTTAGATGAAGGCTGTGCTCAAATACTTCAAACCCATAAGGTTTTACCCTTTGCTGATTATGGGGCAGGGGTGGGGGTATGCATCTAAAGTTGCAGTGATTTTCAAGCATCCCATGGATTTTGCTCTTAACCAACCAGGTTCTTGCATCTCCCTCACACATACATAGTTTTTTAGTTAGTCACAAATGTGTGACAGCTTATCTCAGCTCTTCTGTGGGTTTCAAACTTCTAGGACATTCCTTAATATGGATCATAACCTCAGGCAGCAAAGCTGCAAAGACTCCTTTCATTTCTGTATCATCCATTTTTAGCTGGCAAAGATAAAGATTCTACCTCTACCCTCATTTTATCATCCTGAGTGAGTATATCCTTCTGGAAGCAAAACTGCCCTAAACTAGCAAAATTACTATTCTCAACAATCAGGTTCTTTTCTTTTCTGGATATGCCATCGCTTACTAGAGTTTGCTTCAAATCAATTCGTTTTGTTTTCTTGCCTAAGGAGTGGGGGGTATCTAAGGAGGAGGAGTAATGCTGATAGCTAACTAAACGTTTAGAAAATCTAAATATCTATATGAATGGAAATATTAAAAATGACGAAATTTCTAATCAAACGGCCGAGGCAGGAGAATTACAAGTTTGATGCCAGCTCTGGCAACTTAATGAGACCCTGCCTCAAAATAAAAAATAAAAAGGGATGGGGGTGTAGGTGGGGTGTCCCTGGGTGGTTCAATTCTCAGTACCAGAAAAAAAATTATAATTAAAAACTCCTCATTATCAAAATATTTGTTAATTCTGGCAACCAACTCAAAGTAACATTTTAGGTTGATATAATTATAATTAAAATAAAACTTTCAACAAAAATACCATCTAGCTGTCTGGCCCAAAGGACTTACCAGGAAAGCCACACTACTGAATGATGTTGAGAATGCATTTGAGTTCCAGCCATACCCCTTGGGTTTTATCTTCCAGTAGTATGAAGAGACATTAGGCTCTCACACTTGTAAACCAACTGCTCCTGGATACACAGGTAACTTTCAATCTGATTAATCTGAATACCCAAACTGATAAAAACATTTTCATCTCATGCTTAATGTGAAATAGTCAATACTAATTCACACAGACAGGACTCTTCTCAACAGCTAATTATGAGGACAGCTAAAATAGAGTATAATATTTCTTCATATTTAATATAACGAAAAGAAACCAACCTCTTTTTTCTTCTTCTCGTTTTAGTTTATCTTCCTCTATTTCTTTTGGTAATTTTTCCTTTTTTTCTTTCTCCACATCATTATGCAAATGCTTTGTGGTATAGCTGAGTGCTGGAGAAAGAAGGATCTCTCCATTTTTGCAGAGTTCATCACGAATTCTAATAAAAAACTGCTGAAGTTCTACTGCATCCTCATATATTTCGGAATCTGTCCTATAACGGCATCAAGAGCATCCATTAACATATAAGCTGTTTCTTTCAAACACCTCACTTGAATGTGAGAGTCTACTAAATGCTTCCTTACTTTGTTCACTATTATAATGGTATATTCTTGAGGTTTGTTAGAACAGAATCTAAGGTGTCACTTTACGGGAAGCCTCATGCTGTTCCCTGTTCAGCTTACATAAAAAGAAAGGCCTCAGCATTTTTCCTTGAAGATACATGGCATATGCATCAATCAGTTGTAGTAGAAGATAGCTGCAAGGATTATACCAAGGCTCCAGACCAAGTCTAACACTTATATTTAATCTCTGAAACATATATTTAATCTCTGGATTAGCTTTTTCATTCCCTTAATTGCGAATAACGTATTATAGAAAGTATTAACAAAAGATTTAGGTTATGTGTCTACTTCTTTTTGGTCCTACATCTTGGCTGCCTAGGCTAGTAGGGTTTGGTATATAAGTGAACCTAAACTGAAAAGCCATGAGGGCATTCTTTAACAGTTATAGGCCTGAGAGTGTAATTTTAGTTTCTCGGAAACAGTAATTCTGGGGATTCAGGAAAGGCAACATAGTGAAAGATGAAAAAAAAAATCTGTCATATGCAGAATTTTTCTAAGCATCTTTCCTCATTTATAAAGTAAATGGAATGGGCAAAACAAATTTTAGAATTTAGACTAGAAGAAATTATATTATTATCTCTAATTCACTGGGCTCTGAGGAAGGCAGTTACTGTGCCTACTAAGAACATCAAGGACTAAAAAATTATTCACCAAACTAATCATAGATGAATGTCTCGTCAGCAGTCACAGAGATATTCTGGTTGGGGGTGTATGAGAGGTGAAGTAAACACAGTCACCCATCTGCTGACATATGCCACTAGACTATGAGACTCCATTGAGGTTTCCTGATGCCTCACCCCAACAGCAAAGGGAGTAGTAAACAATTAAAAACATAGTCAAGCTGGGAAAGTATATTTCTGGATAGGTTTTTAGATGATGATATAGAAATGCTAATACCTGTAGAAAAGAAATAAAAACAAAACTTACCAAAGGAAGAAAACCCTAACATGCTATTTTGACATCACACCTGTTTTTTTGACTAGATATATATGTGAAGCTTGTTTTTCTGAAATTAAATTCACTTTATAATAGTTTACGATTTTAAGCGTAAAATTATAAGAGGCCAAGTGTTCAGTAAATGTGCAAGAACAAAAAACTCAAGATGAAAAAAGAACTCTAATTGTCCTCAACGATAAATAATCTTTTAACATAAGGCAGATATTCAGCAAAATGAAAGAATTAAGTGTGTAAGAGGCTTGTGATGTTTCCCTGGGTTCTTCTTATACCTGTAAGGAACTCAGAGCACTTAATCCAGGAATACTGCCAGCAGATTAGAAAAGCCAGGGTCAACTAGCATGAGACAGCACTATGGTATTACTGAATGCGCTAATAGACAAACCACTGTCAAGTCACCTGAGTGAACTTTTCTGTTCTGTCACACCATTCAGATTCTACTACAAATAGACTTCATTGAATTAATGAATGCCTACATTATCTGGGATGCCCATCTTTGTTACTAGCTGACACATTTCCACCGATCTTTTTCTTTTTTTGCAAGGAGTCTCACTGTGTTGCCTAGGTGGGGCTCAAACTAGCCATCCTGCCTCCTCAGCCCTGCCCCAGTAGCTGGTATTCCAGGTGTGCCATGGCACCTGACTCTATCAATTCTCATTAGGTTATTCTTAATTTTTATTAAGTACTATAAGCAGTCACAATATTATCTTCATTCACAAATATAAAAATGGCATCCCTTAGGTTTTTCCACAAGCTTTGGGTATGACAGAAACTGTATTACCATTTCATATAAATAAGAACCAGGTGTGGTGCTGCATGCCTTTGATCCCAGTTACTCAGAAGACTGAGGTAGGGGGATGGGCAAGTTTGAGGCCAGGCTGGGCAACTTATCAAAACTCTATCTCAAAATAAAAAATAAAAAGGGCTGGGGATGCAGCTCAGAAGATAAGTGCCCCTGGATTCAATCCTCAAGGGGGCAGGAAGTAGGGGATGCACCTTGGGATCTATCTTCTAGTCCTTAAAAACAAAAGCCAATCATGTCAACAACTAGAGAAAGAAAAGAGCTCAATTCCTAGAGATAGAAGTCCACTTAATTCTTAAAACAAACATGTCATCTATACAATTTAAACAGAATTCCTAATAATTTAGGAGAAAAATGCTCTTTAGAAGACTCACAGAACTACTCCCATGATATAAATGAGTTTAGGGAAAAAGGGATGGAGCAGAGTGGTTTTAGACTTAATGACTCCTTAAAATAAACCGAGAGCAGAAATGGAAGTCTATATTCCATGAAAGCAGGGTTTATCTGTTTGGTCCACTAATATACCCAAAATATTTAAACATGTTTATTAACTGGTAATTACTCAACAAAAATTTGTTGAGTTAAAAACGACTTCAGATTTTAAATGTGAATGTCCCCCTTTCATGTCTCTCCCTATTGTCAAAAGAATGAGGACCACTCCTAAACACATCACTTAAGGGCCCCTCCAATCTAGTCCTAACTCCTGTCTCTCAAATGTAACATATTCATTTCCTAACCCTTCTTTACCTTTGTTCAAACCACTCACTGTATCTGAAAATCCACTTCTCTTTTCACTTGAATTCCAGCCATCTTTACACTCCCAGATGCCTTATTCCTTCTTTGGAGAACTTTAGCCCACAGTTCCTTATCCCATCATCTTTTCTAAATCAGTTGTTATATGCTGTCTCAGTCTGGATATTTTTTCCTTAAGCAAAAGTCGTGTCTCATCCATCAGACTTCAAGGTTTTAGAACACAGAGCTCAAGGCTTATCATCCATGGCTCACTCCACTGACTATTCATGACTGGTAACTATCACTAGCAGCCCTCTGCAGTGAGAAACAAGATAAGCCACACCACCTACTAGTGTACAACTCTGGGCAATTTTTCTGCCCATGCCTCTAAATCTTCACATGTGAACTAGGAAGATGATCCCTTACCTAGAAAGACTACTAGAAATTAGAGTTAGAGATTATCCACAGGGAATGCTTTATATGGTGTTTCCCAAAGAGTAGGTGCTCAACAGGAAGAGTGAACGTTACTTTTTTTCTTTTTTAAAGTTCAGAGCAAATGCTGGCTTCACAAATTTCCCAGTTGTAAAGACACTGACTGCTAAAAGCTCTAGCTAAAGGTCTGTAAACTCCAAGAAGACAGAGTTTATATCTTTAACATTTTATATTCTCCCAAGTGCTTTAAAGACTACAGGGAAGATACACTAATTACTGATTGAATTGAACAGCTGCTGGAACAGAAAAAACACAGACTAAAATTGGAATGAAATTTAAAATTGACTGTTTTTCTTACGAGCATTTAATGTCTATAGCAGGCTCTCTAAGAAATCTTCAAGATTAGTTTTTTAAAAAAGCCATTTTTTGGGGTACTTAAATGGTAACCAAATTTATATATGTTTAACCTCAAAACAATAATTTGGTGCTGTTTAATTCTTTGTTAAAAGAAAAATCCTATTACTATTTCTAATTCTTATTTCAACTCCTAAGCACTTGTCCTTTAAGAAATGTGTTCTGTGAAAGGCCATATGCTTTTCACAAGATCTTCAATTCTGTCTTCTATCCTCTCATTGACTCTCTAATCTAGATAACTCAGTAGGGTATCCTCTCCTCCTCAAAGAATATACTTACTCTTTTGAAGTTTTGGCTTACTTAGAATTCAGAATAGCACGCTATTAACTATAACCATGTATCTAAGCTGAAATAGTACAGTATTCCTTTATCTGTCTTGCATTAAATACCACACATCTTCAAAAGAAATGGCTTTGAAAACATACCGATTCATCCTTCTTGCCCTTTCCAATACTTCAAACATATGCTCTTGAAATAAATCAAGCCGCCGGTAGCGATTATTTTCAACATTCTTCCTAATAATGTCAAAAGTAAGGGGAGGTTTGTTAGGAAAAGTGGGATCCACACCAGGAATTTCTGCTAAGGAATCACTGTAGCATCGTCCCTCATCATCCTGATGACTCATGACCGACACAAAAAGATTATGGATAAGCTCTTGAATCAGCAAGGTCACATTTGGGACATGAGAATCCTCATCTCCCTCCAGGTCTCTCCGAGTTTCAAGCAGGACTTTATGTAGGACAAGGGCATCTTTATAGATCAAAGACTCAGGCTCATTGTATGTACAGGCATTATTAAACATCATGACGAAGTCCTCAACCATAGAGTCTATATCTTGGTACTTGTTGGCCATCATATGACTTCGAATTTTTTCCATGTCCATGGGCTTTTTAATGGTCAGATAGTAGTCAGGCAACTCAGATCTGGAAGGAAGCCTCAGAAATATGGCACTGAGGCGGCGACCTCTTTTATCAGTATAGTTCTTTACAGCTTCATAGACTTCATTTAGTTTCTGCTGCATTGGGGTCATGTATTTTGATTTTTTAGGAGAAACACCACTCTTTCTACCTGAAGAGAGATAATATAAATACATAAAATAAAAATAAATGCATATTTGTATGGAGTTGTTAGTATAACCCTAAGAAAGAAACTATTCCAAATTACTTATAAAACAACAACAAAAAACCTTGAAGAAAATCTTATCTATATTCAGTAATCATATTTTTAAAAAAATGTTTTATATATATGTATATATTTTGGTTGTAGGTAGACATAATAATACCTTATTTTATTTATTTATATGTGGTGCTGAGGATCGAACCCAGGGCCTCACACATGCTAGGCAAGCGCTCTACTGCTGAGCCACAACCCCAGTCCAATAATCATATTTTTGATGAGAAAATAAAACTGTTGTGTTGAGGTAACTGGGTAAGGTGGAATGAGGCAAATAAGTAGCTATTTAATCTAACTGTGACTTCATCACCTCTAGAATCCCTGAGAACTGAGATTTTCATCACAGGAAAAAGAGATAGATGTTAAAATAGGGAACATATTGATAAAAACTTTATAGCCTGAATCTCAACTGAAAATATCAATTGAGTTTATAATATATTTTATCTTTAAATATCCAAACACTGAAAATCCTACAAACAATAACCAACTTAGTAGCACTAATCTCAAACTATAGTTTTAAAATGCTAATGTCAAAATAGCCCTGACCTTTAAGTAGAAACACAGAAAAGATTAGAATTTGAAAAATGGCTGATTCTCAGTCTGGAACATCTTCAAATCACAGAAGTAAAGAATTTATCAATAACTTCTAGCCATGGTCATGTTAAAAGAACACAGGCACCACCCTGATAGAAGCTAAGCATAAATAAGGGCAATTACAATGGGTTAAAACTCAACATTATATTTTAACCTAGTAATTCTTAATGATACACACAAACAAAAAACTGGTAAATATTGGAGGATGTTTATAAACTAATGTATTATTTTGAAAACTTGTTTAAAAAAATCAAGCTTTTACCATTTCAAAAACAAACAAAAATCTGTACCAATGGATAGCCAAATATTGGATAAAGCAAGTTTCTCTATGCAAAAGTAGTCCACCTATTAAATGAGCAAGGAAGGATAAAATTAAGCTGAGTATGGTGGTGTACATCTGTAATCCCAGTGACTCAGGATGCTGAGGCAGGAGGATCACAATTCCAGGCCAGTCTCTGCAACTCAGAGGGACCCTGACTCAGGAAGGGATAGGGATGTAGTTCAGTAGTACAGTGCTCCTGGTTTTAATCCCTAGTACCACAAAAACAGAAAAGAAAGTTAAAACTGTCAATATTTTATACCTCTTTAATGAGTTAAAGAAGCAAGCATCAAGATTTGTTAATAGAAAGACTCAACCAGATATCATGTGCCACCTGACACATATCACCTATGAAGTTGGTTTTTGTATCAAAGGGAGAGGACAGGAGAGCCTGAATATGTTCAAGCTCTAATGACTAAAGTATAGAAAATAGAAAGTGATGCAACTAACAAAATACAGACTGTGGGAAACTATAATACAAATCCCATTTCTTTGACAGATAAAAAGGAAAGGTGAAAGTTTATAGATAAAAAGAAATATTAGTCAAATGCAATGTGGGCCTTATTTGGTTTCTACTTCAAATAGACATGATGCAAAAGTAAATGTGGAAAGCCTTTTATAAAGTGTTCTTGTCAAGCTGTAACTAAATAGAATCAGGGCTTTAAAGTTAACCTTTGTTTATAACAAATAGAGGGGGGATAAAGGAAAATGTTAAATGATATCACAGAAACAAAATGATGTGGGACACTGTACAAGGCGACCTGGTTTCTTCAGTGCGTGAGAAAAGAAAAGAGGAGACTGTTCTAAACTATGAGGTTAAGGGCATAGCAATCAAACATAGGGGGCTTAGGCAGAATCTTGGTGGTAGAGCACTTGCCTAGCATGTGTGAGACCCTGGTTTCAAATCCCAGCATTGCAAAACAAAACAAAAACCCCTGAATGATCAAATCTGACACAGTTTTAACTGAATTAGATGATGATTTGAGGAAACCAACTGTAAAAATACATTTGAGACAATCAGTAAAACTTAAAAATTTGTGAAGTATTAAGTGAAACCAAGAAACTATTGCTAATTTTGTTCGGTGTGATAAAGTCTTCATGATTAAGAAAACTGTCTGCATATTTTAGAGATATGCTGAAGTGTACAGAAGTAAAAACAACACCTGGTTTGATTTGCTTGAAAATAATTCAGGAAAAAAAGACATAAGGGATTGGGGAAATAAGTGTGGTACAATCTTGTTAAATGATGAGTAACAGGTGTATATACAAGGGTTCATTATACTAGTCTTTACATTTGTGTATGTTTAAAATTTTCACAACGGAAAAAGAATTAACACTCTACATTAAAATTCCCTTTCCCTTTGATATGCATACGTCTTTTTTTATATTTAGACATATTAAACTATTATTAATCAGGGGCTGGGGTTGTGGCTCAGTAGTAGAGCACTTGCCTAGCACATGTGAGGCCCTGGGTTCGATTCTCAGTACCGCATATAAATAAAACAAAGGTCTGTTGACAACTAAAATAATATATATACAAAAAAGATCATTAATCAGCCTTCCAACTCAATTTATGAAATCAATTCTAGTTTTTTTGTTTTTATTTTTGTGGTTCTGGGTATCAAACCCAGGGTCCTATACAGGTCAGGCAAATGTACTACCACTGAGCTACATTTTCAGCCAAATTCTAGTTTTAAAACATATTTTGGTCCTACGAAGTAAAATAAGTTTTAAATTTCTGCACATTTTCTGTATGCTTTTACAATTCCAAGAAAAGATGAATGCCTTAACAAAAGAAATCACTGCCCAGCATGGTGGTGCACGCCTATAATTCCAGAGGCCTGGGAGGCAGAGACAGGAGGATTGCCAGCCTCAGCAACTTAGTGAGACCCTGTCTCAAAAAATAAAAAGGGATGGAGATGTAGATTCATGATAAATTGCCCATGGGTTAAATCCCCAGTACCAAAAATAAAAAAATTTTAAAAAGAACCATCACTTAGCAGTAAATAATTCCCAAAGCAATTGTGAAATTCAGTTTGTAGTCATTTCACATAAAAAAAAGAAAAAAAAAAAAAAAAAACAGATTCTTGCTTTCTTCTTTTTCAGTAAACATGGCTCTAAAGAATATCTGATAACATCACTATTATTTGTTTGGTATTTTATTTATTATTTTTAAGTAAGGCAAAAATCTTTTTAATGGCATTAATTACTTTTGCTGTCTCTTCTTTTCCCTTACAACTTTCAAATAAAACCACCAGGCATAGAGTGCAGTTAACTGAGAGCTGAGTAGTACATCTCTAATTTCAATTTCTGTCCAGTAGGAACTGCTGGAATTCATTGCTAATTCTAGGAATCACAAACAAACAAAAAACCTGCCACCATATTCTTCCAGGCATTAGAAACAGAAAAAAATATTTATCTTTACTTAAAACATGGTAAAATAAGACTACTTGAGAAGAGGGAAGAAACTTCATGCTGGAGTGCCACTGAGTTAAAATATATTCACCATTTAATTAAATATTATTTCAGAAAACCATCAATTTCCTGTTGAAAGGCTACACTAAATAACAAAGAGTGAGGATGCCTTACTCAGTTTGAGTTTGGGAGATGTGATGTCATCATCATCAGGCAGCGGCCCCAGCTCTTTCCTTTTATCCTTGAGTAACTTCTCCAGGATATGGGCATCATTGTATACCTAGGGTTCAAAAATATATTTATTTTCTAAAAAAAGTTTTATCAAGGTATAATATACAGCTGTAAGGAAATTTTAAAAATATGGTTTAGGACAGGTGGGAGTTAAGGGCCTACACAATAATTTGTATGTTTTTAAGCTTCCTAAGTGATTCTAATGTGTAGACACACATGCTAATGATTGAGAGCCACTGTAGTAGAAACCCTGCAGTGTTTTACAGAAGTTCCAAACACATTTACATGTATGTTTCCTTCAAAAATCTCTTTTCTACTAGATTTTCAAGGTAATGGACTTAGTCCAATGGAAACTAAAGATTAAAAATATTTCATGGGATCTGGGTATGGTGGCACACACTTGTAATCCCAGTTACTTGGGAGGCTGAGGCAGAAGGATCCCAATTTCAAGGCCAGCCTTGGCAATTTATCGAGACCCTGTCTCACAATAAAATAAAAAGGATTGGTAATGTAGCTCAGTTGTACAGAACTCCTGGGTTCAATCCCCAACAGTGCATAACAAAATTTTTTTAAAAAATTAAAAGAACCTGATGTTTGGAGAAAAGTGTCTAAACTATTGTTAAATCCCAAATCTGAATTCAACATCCGGAATCTAATATTTAAAAAAACAAACAAACTTCTGCTTAGAGATTTCTCTTTAAAGACTGAGCTAAGGTTTGTAATATGTACTGAAGAACAACAAGGGTATTTACCTAATGGCCTTGCCCCATAGCTACCGCCTTCTTTCTCAGGAGAGGCTATGTCCTCCCTTAACTACCCACCAGAGCAGAGCAGCTGAGCAATTAAGTGACCTCTCTTCTTTGGCTACCTCACTAAGGGATAGCTTTTATTCCCATCAGTGATACATGGTATAATAGTCAGTGATATAGTATAAACCCCTACTATAGAAGGAACTACTTCTTTCATCTATCAGTATCCCCAGCACATATTTTATTTTATATTCAAATGTAACAGAAGAAGGAAAAAAATGGTTTGAAAATATTATTTTGTTTCTGGGAGATTTAAAGTGTATAAAAGACATGAAACAGAAAAAATACCAGAGAGGGAAGATTGTGCCTTACCTATACTGATAAAGAACTGAAAATCATGGGCTGCGGATATAGCTTGGTGGTAGAGCACATGCCTAGGTAGCATGCACAGAGACCAGCAACAAAACAAAACACCAAGATGTTTTGTATCCAAATCAATTATTTAGAGGTGCTTTTATGGAAGCATCACACTGACTCTCACATAACTGTGTAATTCCATGGGGTGTCTTTACAGAAGTATGGCTGTTGAGGATAGTAATAATAATGATGCACCTAGGGATGCAGTTTGGTAGTGGAGCATGTGCTCAAGGCCCTGGGTTCAATCTCTAGCACCCCCCACTCCCCCCCAAAAATGATGAAAAATTATTCAGATTCAAGCAGTCTTCTAAATGCTCAATATACATTATCTCTTATAAATCCTATAATAACCCTGGTGCAAGTATTATGATCATTCCAAAATTACAGATAAGAAATCGGAGGCCCAGGAGGATAAGTTTCTCACACAGGGACTGGCAAAGCAGGATTCAAATCTAGGATGCCAGCTTACAAAGTATGAAGTTTTAATCTTTGTATTGTACTGTCTCTCATTTTAAACAATTATGAGAAGACAAAGTATTTATTTAGCCACTAAGAATAAACTAGGTTAAGCCTAGAGCTGGTCTCTCAAAATGCATTATTCTACCAGCACCCAAAAGAAAATGTGTCTACTTCAGAACCCCACCTGTTCTCACCTGGGAGCCCTCTTCATTGTAGTGCCTCGCATTCCTGAACATCAGCTTCATGTCTTCTATCATTCCCTCTTCACCTGCATATTTGTCATTGCGGATATTATGCTCAATTATTTTCAAATCCATTGGCTCTAAGATGATTTTATAATAATCAGGATAGTCCTTCTTGGACGGTTTAACCATAAATAGATCACAAAGTCTTCTGCCTGAACCTGGCTCTCGAGCTTCAAGAACAACATTGAATAAGATTTTCATTCGCTGTTTTCTTATGTTCTTTTTACTGTTGAGTGGGGAGGTAGAAGAAGGGAAAAATGACAACAGGTTCAGTTTTCTTTATACAAGAGATGAACATGAAATAAAACAAATTAATCTTGTGGGCAGGTGCTTTTTAATGATTACAATTTATTTATTACATATGCCACAAACACAGTAAACATGCTGGAAGCTATAAGCAAATAGAGGAAAAATTTCCAAAACAGTTAAAACATAGTAACCCTGGCTGGATCAACCAATGAACACCAGACAAATCTGTTTAGAATATCTCATGAAATGCAATGTTTGAAAAACAAACAAACAAACTTGACTAACACCAAAATAAATATAATTCTAAAATCAATCAAAATACATTTTAAAAACAAAACAGAGCCGAAGTGAAATAAAGCTAGTTATTTCCTATTATTATTAACAGCTTCACTTCCAAGCACAATAAACAAAAACAAAACAAAAAACTAATAAAGAGAAGTGTTCTTTCTTTTAGGATAACCACTCTGAACAATAGTATATTCTGGTTGCCAGAAAAAAAGAAGACTGTCTGCCTGGTTAGTATCTATAGTGGATTCAAGGCTTTCTTAGATTGATCATGCCAGGGTCAGTCTCCTCTCTTTCTCTGATCAGCACTGCTGTACAATCCCAGCTTAGCTTAAGAAAGAAAGTCTAGACACTGGTTCATCTAAACCCTCTATAGAGTAAATTTTCATCTTTGAGCATGAATTCCCATTTGGTTATCCAAATTCCCTAAGTGAAGTACAATACTGAGAAATTGATATATGGAACACAAGGGCCCCAGATTCAAAAGGGGTCCAGGATGGCAAATGGTCTCATGTCCTATGGAAAACTGGCTCAGAGAGGCTAAATGACTTGTGCAAGGTGAGGGGCTCAGTAAATTATTAGAAGAGATGATCTTTCACTATCACTTTTGCTCAACGTTCTTGTCTTCAGGACAGTGGTAAAGAACTTCTAGCCAGACTCTAACCAGTAGTTTCCAAGAGAACAGTTGGATAGGTAAAAGCAAGAAATGACTTCTGACTTAGTTCCTATTCAGCAAACACTCCTAAGCTCCTATAACATAGCAATTAGATGTAACTATGTTTTATCTGTTTCCTATCCTGCAAGGGAAAAATAGTTCATTCCTGAAACAAACTATATGGCTGCATGGGCCTCTTTGTCCAGCCCTATAACTTTGTTTTTAATTTGCTTGTTAATGAACAAGCCAAAGATATTTTCTCTCCAAGATATGTTTTTCAAACACAGAAACAGAATTCAAATAAAGAACAAAAGTTAAGAAAATAGATATCCTAAATCAGCCTATTTTCTTAGTATCATGGAGCTTAAGGCAAATAGAAAGTGATCTAAAAAAAGAAAAGAGCCTGTTTCCTAGGGTTGGGATCATTCTCATCACTTGCTTAATCTTTTTTTTTTTTTTTTATATATACCTTTATTTTTGTGTGCTGAGGATTGAACCCAACACCCGTCACATGCTAGACATGCACTCTACCGCTGAGCCACAATCTCAGCCCACAACTTGCTTAATCTTAACTCAGCTTTCCTTTGTGGACCTGGGATCATTCCTGCCAATGTGTCCCACCCCACATTCTTTTTTCTCTGTGTACAGTGAGTATTTATTAGATAATCTAGAAGATTTTTCATCTGGTGGGTATTATTTCTCCAAAGAGACATCCTGGAGTGATGATATGAGAGGAAGAATTCTCTAATTCTAGGTCTTTGGCATGTGGATATTGGGACAGAATTGGAACAAAGCTTCAATAGGGCACAGTTCCACATCTGGGCACAGATTACAATGCAGATGACTTTAACCTTCAGGAAGTCTTTGAAGAAAAATCTCAGAACTTGAGTTTGATATTACAGAAATTCATATCTAAACCATTCAGATCAGATATGGTTTATTTAGGTTTCACATGTGTGGGTTAATTTTTTGGTACTAGTTATGGAACCCAGAGGCGCTTTACCACTGAGTTCCAGCCCTTTTTATTTTTATTTTTAGTTTGAGACAGGGTTTCACTAAATTGCTGGGGTTGGCTTTGAACTTGCGATCCTTCTACTTCAGTCTCCCAAGCTGCTGGGATTACAGGCATGTGCCCCCATGCTTGGCTGTATGGGCTAATTTTAAAAGGAAGACACAAAGGGCTTTGGGCTAAGGCTCAGTGGTAGAGCCCTTGCCTAGCATATTGCAAGACCTGAGTATGATCCCTAGCATCAAAAAACCAAAACTAAAACCAAAACCAAACCAAACCAAACCAAAGACACAAGAACTCAATTTGTAGCCTTGAGCTTAAAAAAATCTCAATTGACCCAGAATGAAAACAGTCCTCATTACCAGAATTCTAGGCAGCCTAACAGTCAAGGCCCTGACCCTTATCTAGGAGGAAATCAGCCCTACTGCCTCAGCACATCACTCCCAATAAACCATTAGAATTTTTCTGTATGAAGCTACAAATACTCTGGTGTGGGACTGAATCTAGGGCAGATTTTTAAAGAGAAGGAAAGTTTTTACTTGAAATTTGCCAGCAAAGTAAAAGAAGGGCAAGTCCATTTTTCCAATGCCAGTAACTCTTGACACCACCAGACAGTTCTGAATGAAATATACCCAGGATGTAAAATCTAGTTGTATATGAGAAATTTTTCTGATAACTATAATTTATTATTTTAGTAGTCATAGTACAAACAGTATCCTTTCTCCATTTGTATCATTTACTCTAGAGAGTGATATCTAATTGTTTCCATCCTCAAAGGCAAACAAAACTTCTGTATTACTAGGGTCTTTATAATCTTCTTTGAACAAATTCAGGTTTTTATTTTCTTTACCTTTTCCCAGATCCTTATATCGAGACTGAGAACCATGGTCCACTAATTTTAATTTGGCTGCCAGAAAAAACTAAGAGATAAATTTCATACTGTTTATAACAGTTGTATTAGCCTGGCTGGCTGATATGTTTGTTTATCTCTTTCTAATAAGGACACCGAACCTTATCATATCCATGAATTCTGAAATCTTCAAATACTTTTTTTTTTTTTTTTTTAATTAACCAGAGATTGAATCCAGGGGCACTTAACCACTGAGCAACATCGCCAGCACGCGCGCGCGCGCACACACACACACACACACACACACACTGCCCTCGCTTTTCAATTTTGCAACAGGGTCTTGCTAAGTTGTGTAGGGCGTCACTAAATTGCTGGACCTAGCTTTGAACTTGTGATCCTCTTGCCTAAGCCTCCTTACAGGTGTGCACCATTGCATTGGCTCTTACTTTTTGAATAAGAATAACTCTACATTATAAAAAGCTATCATAGTCCACTATTTGATACTTTCTAGCTACTGTTTTCAATGTCACTTGGCTTTTCAGATTCTTCTTAGAACCCCTTTACACATCCTACTTCACTGCCTTCAATTCCTTAACTATGACTGCTTCTCCATTTTGGGAAAAGTACATAAAACTAAATGCCACACCCTGTAACTTGCACAATCATTTTTTAAAAAAATATATATCAGCATCTTTGAACATAGAAAGTAAAAATTTATCTCAAGGGAATCCAAAACCAAGGCTGTTAATTATTGTGCACTCAAGGAAGGGGCCATATTTAAGTGGATACTAAGTTAGAGATAACAGATACTGTTGTAATATATATACAATTTTAGAATTTTACAGATGGGCAATAAAGAGTCCTATCCTAACAAAACCAGTGTATTATAGCAAATTTCAAATATATGAAAGAAGTGTCTTATGAAATTGGTGCGTTTTCTAATTTGTACAAAGATTATGTGCTAGTAGGGGCTCTGTTCTGAATTCCTTATTTTCTAGGATCAACACTATCCTCCTGAACCCAATCCAATCTGAAACATCAGAATCATAACCATTTTTGCTCTTCTCGGCTTATCAACAATTTCCAGAAGACTTCACAGACCTTCTAGATCTGATATTCTTTCAACTGTTCATACATGTTTTAGTCTCAACTCAATCTTTGTAACTGACCACTTTCTCAAATTTCCTTACCATTATTCTTTCTCTGAAGCTATTATTTTTATATGTACTCAATTTATAGTTAAAACAATTATCACTTCTATCATGCTAAATACTATGTACTGTAATTTAAGCCTCAAACTCTGAGATTCAGGTACAATTAATTATTAACTATGTAGAAGTAAAAACTGAAACCTAGAGACCAAATGAATAAGGCCACAAAGTGAATAATCAGAACACTTCAATCAGATAATATGTGGCTTTCATCATGTCCCTCACTTTCCCAAAAGCTGGCTGGCACTAAAAGCCGCATTAATCACATTTAACCAACAGGCTTCAAAGTCTCCTGGCACTTAGCTCCCTGGCTTGAGAGTGTCAGTGGTGCTTGTTAAACTAAGTAAATCAAAGGTTCTTTTTTGCGATATTTGGAATTGAATGCAGGGGTTCATGCATGGTAGGCAAGCAATCTACAATTGAGCTACATCCTCAGACATTTTTGTTTTTGGAGAAAGGGTCTTGCTAAGTTGTCAAGGCTGGCTTTGAACTTATGATACTTTTGCCTCAGCCTCCCAAGTAGCTGGAATGTACTATCATGCCTGGCTACAGGTTAGTTCTTTTATAAAGCATACAGAAATTCATTCTAAAGTAGTCAAGGCTTTAGAACAAAACATTTCATTCACATTTTCCAATGAGATTTGGAAAAGAACAAAATGAAATCTACCATGTCCTAATATCAACAGGCACAACTTCCAAAAACAAACCTATATTTACTAAGAACTCACTTCATATAGGCCCAGTTGTAAGTTTTACACATATTAACTCAGCTTTACAACTGAGTCCTCACAGCAATCCTATGTTGGGATTGTCACAACTCCTTTTTCAAGTAAGGAAGTTGAAATGAGGCTTACATTCCAGAGCTAATAAGAACAGCTGGTATTTGAATTTAGGCACTTGGTCTCTAGAGCTTAATTCATAACACCATCCCATGAGGTCCCCTATTTCTACTTCCAATAACTCCTAGAGCTTGGTGCCACATATTATGAATGATACAAAAGAATAGAGCCTCTGGTATTTTTTAAAATTTATCATCTCATAAAAAAAGTTTCTTAGGGAAAATCCTGGGTGGTATATGCATGTGTAGACATGTAAAATGGATTACATATGGCAGTAACATGTAGGCAACTTTAGAATAGTTAGCTTTCAAGGAAAAACAAGGTGGGGAAATAACTTTCCTAAAACTATCTAGGCAATCAGGACATTTTAAAAAGTATACCTACATAGTTGTATGCACTATACATAGTTGTATGCACTATACAGTTCTTTTACTATGCTGATTCCACTCAGTTGTTTTCAACCTGTCTCCTTCCCTGGCCACTAAGTCCCTGGCAAGTAAAAGAAATGACTAAATGTTCTCCTTTATGATCTGTAACAGCAGGGTCTGGTGTTCTGTAAGCAAATGACACTGAATATCAGATGGCAAACATGAAAACAAAAGCACTACACGATTATCATTAGCAATGTGACATGGCAATTCATAGACTTTAAAATCATAAGTATCATGCAAAGGAATGGAGAGTTTTAAAGAAATAAGACATGGACAGATCAGAGACTGAGAAAATGTATCCATGCTCAAGAAGCATTAGCCCAATGCACAAGTGCCCACATGCACTGACTTCATCTGGATTATCATTGTTAATTTTGTAATTTTGATTCCTCCACCACTCCCAATCACTAAAAAATGTCCCTGAAAGGGAATCAGCACTAGTCAGTCCCTGTTACAAATAATGCCACCTTACGTATTAGCAATTTCTACCTTTTACTGTAGCACAATGGTTGGTGAGGAGGCTTTTTGGCCCTGGCAAAGCCAGCAACAAATTAAGGCTAGTATTGAACATATCTAGGTTAGCCAATTCTCATCTTATTTATTAGACTTCTAGACAGTGTTTCTGTATTTGTAAAATAAACTAGCACCCCAAACACTTTTGTTACATGCTTAAGGCTTCACTTTTCACCTTTAGTACTGACCATGACACAGAAGAATTATACTTTTAAAAATATTTTTACACATAAAAAAGGACTGCACACCTGGATAGCCTCCTGAGACCCAACATCTCACTGTCATGAGTGTTCCTGGGAAAGCAGAAATAAACATTACATGTGTAGAGAAATAAAACAAGCAACATTGGAGGGTCATGCACAAACCAAATATGGTTGAGAAAAAGAGGATTATTCAGTCCAAAGCATAAAAGATCTTAATACTTGGAACATTTTAACATGGAAGACAGAAAATAGATTTTTAGGAAGAGGAATGGGGGGGGGGGGGAGAAATGCCCCCCCAAAATAAAGAAAACAAACCCAAAATAATTTTTTCTCTTGGGAATTAAAAAAAAAAAAAAAAAAAAAACAAAAAAAGGCAAAGATAGAATCATACACAATACTTAGGAGTCAAGTTGCAAAAGTTGGCCCTGAGTTCTCTGGCCAAGCTTTACTCAACCTTCGAGGCTACAGTTTGCCTGACTTCTGGAGAAGTCTATTTCTTATTACCAAAGCCTCTCAACATAACTACATTCTGAAAGACTCATCACTTTATTTCCTTTGTTACAGACCAAAGTATAGGACTTAATTCTCTCAATCTTTTAAGGTACATTCATGCTTTCATCTTAAACCCAAGTTTGTTCTTTCACTGCTTTGGTAGATGAATTATAGTTGTTCTCTTATTTCTGTCTTTCACTTTGTCATACAAAATACTTCCTAGAAAACCTGTTCATATAGAGACTTTTTGTCTGAAATGGAATGGAATCTTTTTTTTTTTTTTTTGGTGATGGTACTGAGGATTGAACCCAGGGTGCTTCGCTGCTGAGCTATATCCCCAGCCCTTTTTTTATTTTTTAATTTTAAGACAGGGTCTTGATAAATTGCTGAGGCTAGCCTCAAACTTGCAAAACCTCCTGCCTCAGCCTCCCAAGAAGTTGGGATTTTAGGTGTGTTCCACCACACCCTGCCAAGGGAGTTCATAATTGTAATAACATAATGCTTAAGTTTGTATTTTACAGGAGGTTTTAGGACAATAACTTTCATTTCATCTACTTGGGTGTCCCACAAACTACAAGCCACAGAGATGTAATTTTTAAAGACTGGCTTGGGTTTATGCTTCCTTGGAACTCTTCTTCTCTTAACACTCAACTACTTAAGAGCTCTCTTTTCATCCAGTGCTGGCACTAACTGTATCATCACTTTTGCCTCCATTACCTTCTTTTGCCTGAGAAGTTTTTATCTTTGATTGGTGACTGATCTGGAAAACACAGGTGATGCTGAAGTAGAGTTATATAATTACACTCAAAGATGTTCTTGATTTGATGTCTCTGATCTGGTTTCACATTTTTCCTCCGTAGTCCCTGGTATAACAAGGAATTAAGAACTTGGAAGGATGAAATTCATAGGCTAGTGACGGAGGAGACTCACATCTCAGGGCACACCACTCAATTTAGTTACCACGGCATAGCATTGCAAAGTCATTTTCAGAGCTAAAAAAATTTTCCCAAATGTCCTTTAAAAGAGGGAAAGACAGGATAGCTTCTATTTTCTAAACCACTTTTAAAAATCTTCTGATCTTAGCAGATCTTTTAATGTATGTATGGAACTGTGTCTACAGCTACTAATGACTTCTTCATTCAGTTTTGACTCTGTCAAGCCCTGCTATCAGAGTAGCTTATTCCTTGTTTAAGGTACCCTCCCTAGACTCACTGCTGCTGCAAAGACTGTAAGGCAGTAGGGTTTAAAGAAGACTACAGTGTTCCACAATGATCAGGCCACAGAAACTCCATGTGCATGATTCCTTATAGGAGCCCAGTTTCAGAATCTCACAATAAGATCCCCTTCCACAAAACCCTTGAGAGGAAGAAAGCGTTAGGGAAGTTGAAAGAAAGATTAAGAAGAAAACCAAAAAAACATCCAAATATCTAGCTTAACGTTTTACGAACTATAAGAAGTTATGATGGTATTACACAATCTGACATTCTTAAAATCACAAATAAAGATCAAACTAAAAAGGAAAAATAAAAGGTAAGGAGCAATGACTTACTTCACTGTAGCAGTAGAACTGAATTCTCCTTACCTTTCCTAATTCATATTACATCTTTGTAATTCACTATGTAGAAATTACCTAAATTAGATTTAAGTGGCAATCTTAAAAAGCCATCTTACTATCTTTATCTGGATAGTAAAAATTACATGTTTGCCAAGGTGCATATGTAGGTATCTTTTTTTTCCCCTGTGTCATCTAAAAGCAATGTGGTACTTAAAGAAAAATAATAACAACTAATTATCCAATTTATAAATGAATTCCAAAAGATGTTATCAAATATTTCAAACTTATAATCAATACTTCACCACTTAAAAAAATATTTTTTCTGTACTTATTTAAAATAAACAGGAACTGAGATAGTTCCAGCTATGAGAAGATCATATACCTTTTTCTTTTGGCACTACCAGTATCAGAGGTGGCTGAAGAGATCATGCTGTCTCCATCCTCTATGTCATCTCTTCTGGCAAGCTCTTTCTTCTTTGCCTATAACAAAGCAGGTTTCAGGAGTCAGACTTACTCCGTTGAACACATGTATGAATATATGAATGTTAAAGAGCTAGACATGTCAGATTCATTCAGAAAACACCACGTAGCATGCACAAAATTAAAGATTCATTAAATATTTTTAATAACCCAGTTTAACAAAAGCCTGCATGACAGAAAAGTAGGTTAAAAAAATGGATCCAGAGAGTTAAAGAATCAATGTTAGCTACAGCATTTAAGACTACAAAAGGATTTAACTGGTTAAAAGCACTAAGGCAAGTTGTAGGACACCTTGTTTTGGTGGCCAACTCGAAGGTGATCTCTGGCACCCATGACTTCTAAAGAGACAGTGAAGTTAAGAAAAAAGTTGAATCTTTGAAAGGTGAAAAGAGATCTACTTTTCAACACATGCATTTTTAAAGATTTTCTGCCAAAGAGAGATGAAAGTCCAACCACAACAGGCATGGGAAATATACACATACACACACACAGTACTGCGGAACAAAAGCCTGACATTCACAACACTAAGAAGTGCAATATTGATTATACAAAATGAAGAGAACCTATGGGTGCTTTAGTTGCTTCCTTGTGTTAAGACTATCTTTCTAAAAAAGATTCTACCAAAAACTGTGAGATAAATTCAGTTTCTTATCTACTATTTTGTCTTAAAACCCCTAGATGGCCAGTGACTTCAGATGCCCCTAAAGGTGTACTTTCAGGGAGGATCTGTTAAAACTTTTGGGACATTATACAATGAATAATTACCTTTCAGATGCCTTTTCTTCTAGACTAGTCCCATCTTAACAGAGACAAAGTCTAGAACCAAAAAAATAAAACCTAAATGACAGAATATCATCTAGGATTAAAGGGTAATTTCCCTACAATCCTAAAATTACTCAGGAGATTCCTCTATTCGTGAAGCTTACTCCTTTCTAAATTATTACTTCTCCTCAAAATGGTCCTAACAATTCTAAAATAATAGTTAGCAGTACTATGGTTGAAATGAATGACTTGATAATGTTGGGGAAAATCATTCATCTCAAAAGAACACACTCAATAAACATAATACTATTTTGATGATACATACAACAAATTTAGCAAAACTAAGAAATCATACCTGCATGACTTGCTGCAATTTTAGAACTCGTTTATAGATGGCTGAATTGGGAACATTATAGCGCTTGGCATTTTCAAACATTAAATTCAGATCACACTCCAAATGATCTAAAGTTTCATATTCTTGGTTCTTTAATTTTGTTCTGTGAAAGACAAATAAATGGCTAGTACGATCCACTTTGAAAATGATGAAACACTTTTTCTTCCTGAAAGTACAATGCAAAAATCCTTACAAGCACTCTACGGTATCTTCACTAGTGATAGTGGTTAGAAGCCTTGCAAGTGACTGTGTTAAGATAAAAAGGAGGGGGCTGGAGATATAGCTCAGTTGGTAGAATGCTTGCCTCACATGCCTAGGGCCTTGGGTTCAATCCCCAGTACCACCACCAAAAAAAAAAAAAAAAGATAAAAAAGGAGGCATGCCAGGCCTGGTGGCACATGCCTGAACCCCAGTGACTTGGGAAGCTGAACCAGGAGGATTTCAAGTTTGATGCCAGCTCTGGCAACTTCGTTAGGCCATCTCAAAACAAAAATAAAAGAGCTGGGGATGTAGTTCATTGGCAGAGCATCACTGGGTTCAATCCCTAATGGAAAAACCCTGATCATGGATAACAAGTAACTTTAAGAAGAAATAAAATTAGAGTGATTTTAAACTACCTCAATGAAGAATCATGGAGAACTACCCATTTCTGAAAATAAGAGGACATTTCAACCCGGTATAGTGGTGCATGCCTATAATCCTGCTGCTGAGGAAAAGGATCACAAGCTCTAGGCCAGCCTTAGCAACTCAGTAAGAACCTGCCTCAAAATATAAAATAAAAAAGCTGGGGGTGTAGGAGGTGTAGTTCAGTGGTAGAGTGCCCTGGGTTAAATCCCCAGCATTGGGGTTAGGAAAGAGGCTGAATATTTTAGTTCATGCAGATTAAAATAATAATAATAATAATGGCAATGCCATGAAGAAACATCTGGAAAGATATTTACTCAAGGAAGATATAAAAGGATAGCTTAATTGATTTTCCAATGGTAAATGAGAGGTAAATTTGTCAGAATCCATTTATTGCTATCCTCCAATATAATTTATTACAAACTATGATGGCCTAAGCTGAGGTTTTTGCTTATTTTACTTAAAAGTCCTAAGTAAAAAGATAGGTTAGACACTACTGCTATTAATAATACCAGTTCTTTGAAAGGCCTTATGTACTTTGTGCTAAATGAAGAATCACTATTTGCTCTAACTCTATGTGGACAGAATAAACTTTTTTTTAAGGATAAACTCTTAAATCTTGATTGAGGCACCTGCATTTTAGTCATCAAAATCACAAAAATATTATTAAAGAACCAAAATGTGTGAAAACAGTTTCACTGAATGGAGATTCCAAACTTTCTCTTAGAACAGAATTGTCTGTTATGCATATAAAGTTTTACTTAAAATTTAACAAAATACTATTCAGATTCTGTGTAGCACTTAAGGAATACGAATATTAGAAAACATATCTGAAAGGGGGAAAAAAAGCCAAAAACTAAGCATATATTCAGTCCTCACTACCAGCTAGCACCAGAGTTTATTAATCTTATTCCTGCCAAATCAAAGGATGCTAAGTGTTCTCAACACCTAAAAGAATCCAAATTTGCAAACAACAACTTAACAGATCTTCAGAGATTTATCAAACTAAAGCTAATCAATTGAGACTTGGAGTGAAGGAAGAGAGAAAATGGAAATAAACATGGGGAAAACAAATCCCAGCACAGTGAAAAGTGGCATGAGGTACCACACTAGCTCCTATTCACTTCTGTGTGTGGGCCTGGGGATCAAAGCCAGGTACATGTTAAGCAAGTACTCTACTTTTGAGCTATCTCTCAGCTCTAGTTTTCCATTCTCAAACTTTTTTTTTTTTTTTTTGGTACTGAGGATTGAACCCAGGGGTGTTGTACCACTGAGCCACATTCATAGCCCTTTTTAAAAATTTACTTCTATTTTTTAATCTTTATTTATTTGCTTATTTATTTTTATGTGGTGTTGAGGATCGAACCCAGGATCTCACACCTGCGAGGCAAGTGCTCTACCACTTAGCTACAGCCCCAGGCCCCTTTTTTTAATTTTTGAGATAGGGTCTTGCTAAATTGCTTAGGGCCTTTCTAAACTGCTTAGGCGGTCTTGAGCTTGCAATCCTCCTGTCTCAGCCTCAAGAGTAGGTGAGATTATAGGAATGTGCCACTACATCTGGCTATCCATCCATTCTTTATTGCTTTTGGGGAAACTCAACTATCTTCCTTCTGCCAATTAATCTTCCTAGGACTATTCTGCACCATATTGTAGACATTAGATGCATGTGGCTACTGAGATTAAATTTAAATCCAATTTAAAATCAACTTCCTCAGTGGCACTAGCCTCATTTCAAATGCTCAACAGCCACACATGACTAGTGACTATCATATTGGATAACACAGGCAATAAAACATTTCCATGTTTGCAGAAAGTTCTATTGGATAGCACTGCCCTACACTTCACTGCTGCTCTACATAGCATACATAGAAGGGAGTCCAGGCACAGCAAGTTTCTTATTAGGCACCATGGGTTCTGTGACCCAAGAAGGGATTAGACATCCTACATATTGACCCTTCAAAATGTTAGTGTACTAACATCTAGGCCCAAATCACTTCCCTATTTCTCACCCACTCCTACTGGAGTGTCCACAAAACTGACATGGCGGGCGGCGTTGGGGCGGGGGGATGTGTGTGCTGAAATAGTGACTTAACAAAGCAAAGTTTACACCAGAAAATTCCAACTTGGAAGAAGGCTATTTTCCATTGCCCATTCATGTTGGTGCTGAGTACCTACAAAATGTGCTGCAACTTCTCAGGGATCACTACAGACACAGTGGCAACAGCGGTAGCAGTGTCTAAACCTCCTATGGAAGCCCTCTGTTCTCTCTCACTTTTTGTGAACCAGGGATTCAACCCAAGGCCCCTTAACCACCGAGCCACATCCCCAACCCTTTTTATTTTTTATCTTGAGACAGGGTCTCATTAAATTGCTCAAGGCCTCACACTAAGTTGCTAAGGCTGGCTTTGAACTTACGATCCTCCTGCCTCAGCATCTCAAGCTGGGATTACAGGCATGTACCACAGAGCCTGGCCCTCTGCCTATTTTTTAAATTGGGATTTTTTTTTTTTTTAACTGTTGTTATGATTTCTTACCATTGTTAATGATACTATAGTGGTTTAAGTATTCTGTCTGGCTGAATTGCCAAATGATCATTTTCTAACTGTATGCATGAGTTCAAGATCTGCCTGGGTAACAGAGTAAAATCTCATCTCAAAAAAAAAAAAAAAAAGAACAAAACAAACATTTTCTAAACAGGAAAAGGAATCCAAGATGGAACCATCTTTCAAGTACGGTTTCAGCTAATAAGTTCTTCAAGAATTGACTATGCTTATTCTGATGATTCAACTATCAATATAAAATTTAAATATGGTTTAACTACCATAATTAAAGTATCAATGAAAGGTGTAAGCAGGAAAGTTTTTGTACTTTGTTCTTAATCAAAAGACAAACAAATGGTTAGGTAAAAAGTTTAATTTTAAAATCCTTATCCATTTTAGGAAACAATAATATATATGCAGGCTAGACCATAAGAAAACAGATTTACACAGAGTAATACAGAAAAGATCTTACCTAATCTGTTGTAGTGATATGGGCATTTTAATTTGCTGGTAATAATCAGGATATTTCTTCTTTGAAGGCAAATGGAAAAAAGGTTCAGCTATTAGTTGCCCTTGGTTATTCCGACAGCTCCTAACTGTGTCATACAGCTGATAAAAGGGATTTGAAACATCCATGAAGGAAGTGATGCTCTCAGCTTCTGACTCTCCTTCTTCATAACGTGCAGCTAGAAAGACAAAAAAACTAGTATTCACAGGGGAAGAAAGTAACAAAGCATGAAATAACCATATTTTATAGCTCCTTCAACAGACAGACATATATATTTGAATTTTTTTAAAAATAGTCTATAATCTCCATTAAAGATGATGCTAAGGATGCATGCTTAGAGAAATGTTTCATAGAACTATATGTTTAGAGAAACATTTCACAGAAATAAAATGCTAAATAGTAAAAGTTATACTGGTTATAAAAGGTTGCAAAATAGTTTTTCTTTCTGGGCTCTCCTCAGAGACTCCTTGGCATGTATGGCCAAAAGAAGGAAGAAATCTTTCAGAGACTTCAGAACTAAAATAATACCATGAAGTTCAGGGCTACAGTTTGGATTTGAAATGTCCCTCAAAGCCCTATGTGTTAAAGGCTTATCCCCCAGAGTGGTGCTATTGAGAGGTAGTGGAAACTTTTAACAGGTGGAGCCTAGTGAAGTGCTACCTCACCACGGGTCTGATCATAGACTAGAACATCCAGAACTGTGAGCCAAAATAAAGTATTTTCATAAGTTGATTATCTCAGATATTTGTTACAATAATAGAAAGCTGCTAACACATTTAGAATAGTATAAATTTACATTAGGCCGATAATGTCAGACATGATTTAACCTTAAGTCTCTGTGACTTTGCCCTATTGATTTATACCATCCCTGATGAATGATGTATTCCTTATAGAGGGAATTTTTAAATAGATGCTAAATCATAAAAACACCACAAAAAGTAAAACACAGAATCATCTTCAGATTTTGCTCAGTTCCCTGATTTCTTATTGAGTGCATAAAGATCACAGTTTAAATTGTTTTGGCTGGATCACCATAATTGCTATGTACTCCTCCCAGGTAAGACCAACAATCATTTATTAAGTACTTAAGTTGGGCTAAAAACTTGATAAGCATAAGCCTTAGGCAGTCCTAATACCACCACATGAAACAGATATTGTTATTATTTTTTCAAATGAGAAAACTGGGCAAAAGAGATTAACAACTTATACAATGTCATTCATCCTATAAAGCTGTCAGATGAGATTTTAATACAGTCATAGAGCTAGCTAGAAGCAGACAAGGATTTGAAACTAGTCATCATCTCTGATATTTCCTATAAAGAGTTTACACATCTTTTGTTGGATATATACCTAATTTTCTTTTTGTGCCTTATTCCAGAGAAGGATTTTTGTGTAATGATCTTATATCTGCAACTTATGATTTTTTTATTCATTTTAGTAATTTATTTGAAGAGTTTGAGTAGAAAAAAAATCTGTCAACTACAATATGTATGTATCTTTCTTCTTTTCTGATCCTCATACATTAACTGTTGTAACTGTAGGCTGTGTAGTACTTTTTCACTAAAAAATGTAACAGAATTCTTACCCTATTTCTACACGGCTAACATTTCTCCCTTAAAAAGAGAAATGCCTTTTATCAGCTTAGGAAAAATCTCCTTAGTTTGCTAAGAATTTTCATCATGAATGAGAATTGTAGTATTTATCAAAAATATGTGATGAGCCAATTGTATTTTATTTAATGTTAATGCAGTAAATGGTACTTTATCTTTTCTAATGTTGAACAAACCTAGTATTTCTGGAATAAATCCAATTGTGTCATCATGTATTATATACACTGACAGATACAGTATGCTTCTAATTGGTTTTGATATCTAGGTTATATTAGATTCACAGAATGAACTGGAAGCTCATTTCATCTACTGTGCAGATGTTTTAATAAAATTCTGTTGTCTAAGAGAGTGAAATGCAGTGGTAGAGTGTGAGGCCCTGGGTTCAATCTCCAGCACTGAGGTAAAAATTATAACTCTTCTTTCTTAAATGTTTGGCTTGGTGTTTTCTATGTGGGAAGGTTTTTAACTGACAATTTAATTCTTTACTGGTTCTATGAATAATCTCAGCCTTTAAATTTTTTTTTTTTTTTTGGTACCAGGGATTGAACCCAGAGGGCACCTAACCACTGAGCCACATCCCCAGTCCTTTTTATTTTTCATTTTGAGATAGGGTGTCCCTAGGTTGTTTACAGCCTCACTAAGTTGCTGAGGCTGGCTTTAAATCTGTGATCCTTGGGCCTCAGCCTTGGGAGCAGTGTGGAATACAGGCATGTGCCACCAAGCCTGGCTTAATTTTTGAATCAGTTTTATACATTTAACATTTTCTAGGAATTTTTTCATTTAAATTTTTAAATGTATATGCTGTAAATACATTTTCATTTAATCTCTATATGTCTCTCTCCTCCCTAATATTATTTACTTACCTTTTATGTTTTTCTCTTGATAATTTCAACATAAACTTATTTTATTAATAGTCTTAACAAAATAACTTTTCACCCCATTAATTTTTTCCATTATAAGTTTCTTTTTTAATGAATTAAATTTCTGCTATTAGCTTTATTACTCATTTTTCTAACTTATCTTATTAAAAATTATCTTATTATTTACTAATGTTGGATGCCTAGCTCATTCCTTCAGGTGCTTTTCTAAAGAGAAGCATTCAGACTTATGAGATTCCTTCTGAATTATCACTTCAGCTACACCCAATTAGTTCTGATGCATTATTTCACTGTTGCAATTGTTCAGTTTTAAGTATTTTAAATTTCTGAGATAATTCTTCTTTTAGCCTATGTGTTTATTTTAAAATTTCTGATGTTTAGACTTTTAAATTCTATTCATTGTTAGTTGATGTCTTAGCTGCACTTATCAGAAATGGGGACTATATAACACCTAATCTTTACTGAAATTTGTTTTGAGTAGATGGTCAGTTTTTATAAATATGAACCTAGGAAGAATGTGTGTTCTCTAAATGTAGAATACATATGATAAGCTGAATAATAACTACCAATATATACTCATGTCTTTGTCAATAGAACCTCTGAATGTTACCTTATATGCCAACAGGGACTTTGTGAATGTGATTAATAATCTTGACATGAGAAGATTAACCTGAATTAATCTGTGAATTATGTGGGTGTGCCCTTAAATGTAATCAAGAGGATCCTAACAAGAGGGAAGCAACAAGGTCAAAGCAGCAAGAAGAAGGGACAACAGATGCAGAAGTTGGAAAGATGCAGTTTGAAGATAGAGAAAAGGGGCCACAAGCCAAGTACAGATAGTCTTCAGAAGCAGAAAAAGCAAGAAAATACATTCTCCCCTAAAATATCTGGAAAACTGGCTTGCTGACCCCTAGATTTTAGACTTCTGATCTCCAGAACTGTAAGAAAAAATTTATTTTACACCACTAAGCTTGTGGTAACTCATTTCAATATCATCATACTTATGAGGAAGTAGATTCAATTTTTCTACTTATCTAGCAAACGAGAGAAGAGGAATTCTGTTGGACGCGTATTGTTTTCAAATTCTCCATAAAGTTCCATCTTCTTGATTTACATATTTGGAGCTCCTTTGTAATTCATCTTCCCAATGAAACAAATGTTTTACTATTGTAGGCTGAATCTTTTTTTAATCTTTTCACTTATCTCCGAAAGTTCTTATCTGATGTTAATATGGCTACCTTTTGACTATTATCCGTTCTACATCATTTTCTCTCTTTCATGTTTTTATATTTACCCAGATATGAATTTTAACCAATATCAAGCAATAAGCTTTTGATAAATCAGCTGCCAACTAAGGGGTGCAATCAAATGGAACCAAATAGCACATTTTCCAAAAACCAACAAACTTCAGGCTAGACCAACCAAAAGGATCCACTTTAGAAGGCATTTAATTTAGCCAAAAGCTACTGCCTACCAGCTAATGCAGCATCCTCTTCACTTTCTGAGCCATACTGAAGTGCCATGGTAATTGCTGACAAACGGCCCCCTTGGACTGCTCTTTTATTACTACAAAGAAAAACAAGATATTGGAAGACATTAGGAGCTGTTAACAAAGTACTTAATAACAAAGAAAAATAATTTCTTTTGCTTTAAAATTTTTTTTTTTTAGTTGTTGATGGACCTTTATTTTATTTATTTATATGCGGTGCTGAGAATTGAACTTAGTGCCTCACACGTGCTAGGCAAGTGCTGTACCACTGAGCCCCAGCCCCAGCCCCAGAAAAATAATTTATATTAACTGCCTCTTTATCTTTTTACTACTTAATATTCCTCATCAATGTTATCCAAGAAAAACTAATTTTTCCTCTAAGAAAGTGGCAGTGGTAGTAGAAAGCCTGGAGTGGGCAACTTGTAATCTGCTTTTTACTTAAATGTAGATCTACTCCTTATTTTATAGAAAGTAAAGACTCAATCACCATCACCAGTTATTCTCTTCTAAAATGCTCATACTTTAAAATGACAAAAAAATTCTATTCTAAACACAAAACTTATTTATTGCAAATAAGTATTTAAATCTCACATTTTATTTATAACTAATACTAAACACTAACTGGTTAAAGAATCCTTAATCATTATTTGAGAGGTGAGGTAAAACCTACTACAAGTATCTCAACCTTTTAAATAAAGCACTTGATAAATAACTCTCATAATCCAGAAGTATGCTGGGATCAGTGGCACATGCCTATTAATTCCAGCAACTTGGGAGGCTGAGGCAGGAGGACTGCAAGTTCAAGGTCAACCTCAGCAACTTAGTGAGACCTTGTCTCAAAAAAGAAAAAAAAAAAAAAATCATCCCAAAATATTATTTCAAAATAGCCATCAGACAAATATTAATATGCCTACTGTCATAAGTATGGGTCAACTCTCAGACTAAACCCTCTTTTTCTTACCGATAATACTTGCTAGTGGTATTTCTCTCTTCACCAAGGCTGCCTTTACTGTGCGAAGGGCCTGTCAGCCTGGTCGCTGACAAATTTGATGGAGTCCTAGTCAAAGATAAAAAAACCTCAGAAACTTGATAGCTAATCAGAATTCTGGATTAAAAAAAAAAAGACATTTTCTATTTTTTTCCTAATAGAAATGTTGAATTTTTCTGAGCCTCTACTATGCAGCAGGCTCTTCTCCAGGACCATGGGACTCTGCAGAGGACAGCAGACCACAGACGGTCCTTGAGAGATTATGGTCATTGTAGAGCCAGAGGAAATGATAACAAAATAAATGTGAGAACCAGGAGAGAGCTTTGAAAATAATCACCCAACCTTTTCATTTCAGGTAAGAGGAAGCAGAATTCCAGAATTAAGATTTGTTCAAACTTAAAGTTCTAGGAAAGGAAAAACCAACTAGAATGGTACTTCAGATCTTCGTATATTGCAAATAAATGCTACTGCACATTATATCCAAGTACCATAATATTGTATTACACCAATATGGATTTATAAAGGTAAGAGGAGGATATAGTGGTGTTACCTTAAGTGTTTCTTATTAAATAAAGCCCTTCAGCTACAATGAAGAGGCTAGATAAGCTACTCTACTCTTTTCAGAATCACATTATTAACTAAATATAATCTTGAAATGTAACATAAATCTTGTTTTCTACTGTATTGATTTTATTAGAAAATTCAGCAAACACAAAAACACAAAGATCTTGGAAATTTTTTGAGTAGTATGTGGTGGCACACATCTATAATCCCAATAATTTGGGAGGCTGAGGCAGGAGGATTGCAAGTTTGAGGTCAGCCTCAGCAATTCAGTGAGACCCTGTCTCAAAAAAAAAAAAGAAAAAGAAAAAAAAAAAGGCTGGGAATGTGGCTCAGTGGTAAAGCCACCCTAGGTTCAATCCCCAGTACCACACCAAAAAAAAAAAAAAAAAAAGAAAGAAAATTAATAAAGATCTTAAATATTTCTTAACCTACCTCATTCGAAGACTTGACTTAGCCATTTCATGATGTTCAATTTCTGCCTTTTTCATATAAAATATTTTTTTAATTGAATTTGCATCCTGTCAAAATAAAGTTACTCAGCTTAAAAAAGGAATAGAAAAAAAATTCCCTTGTTCACACACTGGGCACCTTTCATGGTACTCTTTCCATTTGGAGCTGACATCTATTCAACATTCACAAAGCTGCATCCTCTAACTTTTCTGTAAGCTTCTCAAACATCTTCATGAAGTTGTCACTAATTAAATGCAAAAAGCTTCTAGTTCTTTCACAGTTAGTGAAGTAATATGCAAAGATCTGATGGTAAAATACAACAAATCCTAGTTGTATACAACCTAAAAGTCAAATCCAAGATTTTCTTTCTCTTGAAAAGGTTTAGAAAAATAATTAGATTGAAAAGTAAAATTTTTAACTGTATCAACTAACAATCAGTAATATACTACCAAAATGTCTTATCCAAGGACTAAGAACACAGGACTTCAGAATTCGTTTCCGATTTTCACTCAAACTTTCTCAAAAGATGAAAGATAGAGTTAACATTAACTAGCAATAGCAATAGTATCTGGGTCAGGGTTCAGGAAAATCTAATGATTTTACTACTAAAAGATTTTCTGAGCATTCTTTCCTAAATTCCCAATGATATGTGATTAATTCAAGGAATTTCTACAAGCAGGACTACAAAATTTCTAAGAGGGAATTACAGAGCAACGGAAAAGCTATTTTACATTGTATTTACACTATAAATGTTGCTTTTTATTATTTATGAAATTTAAATGCAGGGAATAAATCAATATTTAGCTGAAAAAAAAAGGATTAAAAAACCTTACTTTGACATAAGAACAAACACTTAAATGAACTGAACAGAACCAAGAATACAGAATTAAACTCCTACATCTTGGTTAAATGATTTTCAACAAGGGTTCCAAGATGATCAATGGGGAAAGAAATCTTTTCAATATGTAGTGCCAGGATAATACCCCATATAAAAGAATGAATTTGAACTATTACCTATTAATTACAAAAATCAATTCAAAGTGAATCAAAGATTTAAATGTAAGAGCTAAAACTATAAAATTCCTAGAAGAAAATATAGGTGTAAATCTTTATGAACTTGGACTGGGCAGTAATAACCTAAAACAAAAGCAACCAAAGAAAAAAATACATAAACTGGACTTCATCAAAATTAAAAACTTTTTTGCATTAAAGGACACTATCACAAAAGTGAAAAGACAAGAGAATGAGAGAAAATATTCAAAAATCATATATCTCTTAGGGGCATGATATCCAGAATATATAAAGAACGCCTACAACTCAAAAATAAAGAGAGAAGTAACCCAATTAAAAAAAGGGCAAAGGATATGGATAGACATTTCTCCAAAGACATACAAAGGGCCAATACACACATGTAAAAATGAATTATTATTCATTACATAAAGGCAAATGAAACCATAATAACATACTACTTTACACCCATTAGGATGAAAATGGAAAACAAGTGTTGGTAAGAATGTAGAAAATTTCAACACTTGTACATCGCTAATGGGAATGTAAAATGGTACATCTACTTTGGAAAAGAGTTTGCTGGTTCTTTAGAAAGTTAAGTATATAGTTACCATGTACAAAGACAAAAAGATGGTGGTTCCCTAGGGCTGGGGATGGTGGGGGGGAAAAGAGTGACTGCTAACTCTGTGAATATACTAAAATCCATCAAATTGGGTCTTTTAATTTAAATGGGTGAAATTTGAGCCAGGTAAAGTGGCGTATGCCTGCAATCCCAGTGGCTCAGGAGGCTGAGGCAAGAGGATCTCAAGTTCAAAGCCAACCTCAGCAACTCAGTGAGACTCTATCTCAAAAATTAAAAAGGGCTGGGGATGTGGCTCAATGGTTAAGCACCCCTGGGATCAATCCCTAAGTAAATAAATAAACAAATGGGCAAAATTTATGGCACATGACATACCTCAATATAATTGTTATAAAAATTATTGAACCTAAATTAAAGTATTTACTATTATCAATGAAAATAACAACAACAAAAAACTAACCTTGAATACTTGAGAACCAGGCTCATTATAAGTTTTGGCATTTTTTGCTAGGAGATCTATATCTTTGGCCATTGCATGAATACTTTTGTAGCTTCCATTCTACAGTAAACAACAAAACATAGCAGTTCCTCTTAATAAATGTTAAAAAATATCAGTAAAACCTTTAATTAAAAAATAACTCCACATATTTTAAAATTGTCACCATAAGTCTAAGACTTTATTGGAAAGTATATATGTGAACAATATGTAATTTTCTTTCATAAATTATTCCTACTACCCATTTACAAATAAGTTTTTATAATAGGTAACAAAACCAGAACTACATTATTTTCATTAAAAAACTTAATTAAAAAAATAAGTAAGATAAATGTTTTAGTTAGCCAACACATGCTTACAAATGATCCAAGCTCTGTTCTGGGTGCTTCATGAATACTAATTCACTAAAGTGGCCTTAACAGTGTGAAGGAAAACTCCCTTGAGTTATTAGGACCACCTCAGGTAAATTATAAAATCAGTCCAGCATAGAGGTTAACATTTTCTATGTACTATTTTTGTGCCAGAGCTGTCACATCTTAAAGCTCACTTGTTCCAAAATAACCTAGAAATACTCACATAGTTGCCTCAATTTACAAAGGAAAGGAGGGAGGAATGCATGCTAGGTAAAAGACACACATATAATGTGTATACATGTACTTAATGATATAAGTACACAGGAAGAAGAAGTTCTAGAGAAACTGAAAGAAACCAATTTAAGTGGGGAGGGTGGGGAAGGGTACAACTGTAGCACAAAAGTGTATGGACAGGCAAAGGCAAAATGAGGCAGAATCCAAAAAAAGCAGGCAATGGAGATTGGATGGTTATCTGTTATGTGGAACTAACACTTTTGAATGCCTGTTTTATTTGGAAGGAATCCTAGAACAGGTGACAGGGAGGGCCCTACTTCCCACCATGACGGTGAAAGTGGGCAAAAGTTTGCTTTACCCACAACCTATCAGCAAGGCAAAGGGAAATAATCACGGACAAGCTAATTTGTGCTTGGGTCTTCAGTGACTAAAGCAATGGCCAGGGAATGGCAGGAATTCTTACTGACTCCTGCAGAGGAAGAGAATCTAAGCAGGGCCCACAGTGGCAAATGACAGTAGTAATAACAATTGTACTACAAGGAGGTTGTGTGTAATCTTGGCAGTACCATGACATCCCTGAGTTCTATTTATTTTCCCAAAAGTAGTTCCCCAGTGTTTCATTCCAACAATTTCATAAGCGATCCTTTTTCATAAATTCCTTTTCTGCTTATGGTAGCCAGAGTTGATTATTATTATGGAACTGGTACAAGTTGTTGTGACAAGTGACATTAAGTTTCTGAGCTGTGGAATAGTGGGAAGAAAGCCAGGGTTAGGAAGCAAGATATAGAAAGTGACTAGAGAGCTTTTTGATCAGAGAGGTAGGAAAGATTATTCCAATAATTTGGAAATAAGATGACAAGGATCTTGATCAGGATGATGGCAAAAGAATATTATTTTGGGAACTTCAGAAGAAAGAACAAGATGAGGCAAAAAGTCAAAGAGAGAAGACTGGGACTGACTTAGAGGTGTTTAAAATCTGATTTGATTTTCAGTATTACGAAAACATCATTCCCCCTAGATAGATGAAGACCAAGGGAATCAGAAAGTGAGCATTCTGTGCACTTATTGGGCTGCCTCAAAACCAGATGATAATTTGGTTAGTCCGAATTTTAACATTCTGTGAAAATGTATCTATGGAATCAATAATTACTACATTGTTACTCTTTAATTTGTTGCTGTCTTAAAATTTAGAGCCAAGGAAATTTCTCTCTCTTAGCAAACCACCATGCCACACTCTCATTACTCAATGAGACTAAGTAACACATTGTTCTCCTTTTTGCTTTGTCTCCCAGGAGTAGTGTAATCTTCTTACCCTGGGAAGATGAGTGATTCCTAGTGATTATGGGCTCATCTAATAGTTGCTACATGAGACAGTTTACATATATCATCACAGCCAAGTGGTTATACTATACCCAATATACAGCAGAGGAAGCAGACAGTCACATGACCCAAGTGATACAGCTAGTTAAGATGAAGAGCTAGGAAAAGAAGCAAGTTCCACTCTAGAAACTAGATTTCTGGAAGAATGTATATCTTTCTGCATTCACCTACCTTAACATATAATCATCAAACCGCAAATCCTAATCATACATTCACAATTAGGTAATACTTATTTAGTACCTATTTGGCTACAAATCTCCATACTTTAGTGTTATAATATTTAAAATGGGAATAACAGGATCTACATCATATAGTCATTGTAAGAATGACTTAGCCAATATACCTAGCACTGAGCTAGGTATATAGCAAGTCCATATGGGTGTGAACTACATCTATTATTTCTAGGGAAACTGAGTGGGAAAGAGGTGAAGAAGGTTAAAGAAAGCATAGTATTTATTTGCACTTGAAATTCTGTTGTTTATTTTAAGATACCCTAAAGCAATTTTGTTCTGTTTTGTTTGATGCTGGGGATTCAACCCATAGCCTCCCCAAAACATGCAAGCACTCTACCACTTAGTTATACCCCTAGCCCTAATTTTTGTCCTTAATCCAAAACTGCAAGTTGTACTACTTTGTTTATATTATTTGATAATACTAATAACCCTTAAAGAGATATCCACTTCCCTGCTTTCTAAAATTCTCTAAGTCCATAGGCCAATCTGCTCCAAACCATATATGATTACATATGGCCACCTTCATACCTGTATCCTCTGTGCAATGGTCTTGAGATCTATAGGCTCCTTAATTATTGCATAATAGTCTGGATATTGCTGGAAGACAAAAACCCAGGTTTGCTCAATGAGTGAAAGCAGCTAGCTAATGAAAAAACAAGAAGCATACTGACAATATGTTGTCAACCAAGAAACTGAGCAGCTTTGTGACATTCACAGATATAAAGACATACAGTATATTTTTATATCTGAAACAAAATACAATGTTATTTTAAGAAGCTTCATGAGCCATGTGCAGTGGCACACACCTGTAATCCCAGAGACAGGAGACTGAGGAAGAAAGATCTCAAGTTCAAGATCAGCCTCAGCATCTTAGTGAGACCCTGCCTCAAAATAAATAAAAAGGGTTGGGATACAGCTTAGTGGCAAAGCATCTCTAGGTTCAATCCCCAGTACTGGGGGAGTGGGGGTTGGGAAGCTTAATGAAATATTCAACAGATATACAACAGCAAGTTGTAGGGTTTACTCTTATTGACAGTTACACATTCTACACAATTAATACACTACAATTTAACATAAAATTCTAAATTCACAGAATCATAAATGTCTAAATTTAAGGTCCCCAGATAGCAATCAAAAAAGTTATTTTTTGTGTATGTGTGGTACTGGGGATTGAACCCAGGGCCTTGTGCATGCAAGGCAAGCACTCTACCAACTGAGCTATATCCCCAGCCAGAAAAAAGTTCTTAATGGGCCTCTTTATAAGCTTTTTAAATTTTACAATATAAATAACAATTATATAATATTTCATATAAACTTCCACAAGGAACTATAAGAAATCATAAAAATTTGTTGCTTCATGTTTAACTTAATGCTTTTATTAATGCTTTAATCAAAGTAAGGCTTTTCAAAATAAAATATTTTTAAATGAAATTATATGAAAGAAATGAAGCAAAATTATAAGTAATTTCTAATTTATCAAATACTAGTTTATCTCCAGGGGTTGGACATGTTGGGGGATACCACTGAGGCTTTCACAATGCCTAGAATCATTCACTACCCTCAGGCTCTCCTGCAAGTTTTGTGCCTTGAAGGAAATAACTGCAGTTGCAAGAGGTTCAGAGGAAGTCGGACTGTGCTTCTCCCCTACCCTACCCTCATAGCAATCACCATTCTACTTTTTGTCTCTTTCACTATTCCAAGAACCTAATACAAGAGGAGTCATACATTATTCATCCTTTTGTGATTTGTTTATTTCATTGGCTTATGTTCAAGATTCATCCATGTTGTAGGATGTTTCAGAATCTCCTCCCTTTTTAAGGTTGAATAATATTCTATTGTTTGAATAAACAATTTCTTTGCTTATTCATTTGTCTATTAATGAGCATTTGGGTTGTTTCCAAGATTATTCTTTAATGATAAAATAAACACCTAAACTTTTTTATTTGTAAAAAAGGAAATTTTCTCTTTCCTCAGAAGGCAAGGTGAGAGGAAGTTCTTCCTCCCTTAGCGCTCCTTGATTTCCTAGAGAGCTGATTACATATTTTGCCTCGCATACTTTCTCACTCTACAAAGAAGATTTTCTAGAAAGTGAAAGCTTTTAAAGGATCAGAAAGAACCCTTTATAGTTTCACATACAAGAGACAATTAACACGGTTACAGATGTAACTCATATCATTGCCTGTGAAACCACAAAAACTTTCATGGTCCCAGAATTCTAATATTTCTAAGTAAGAGTATATTTTCAGAAGGACTCCACTATAGATTTAACCCCCACTGTGATCATTTCTTCTTTTATCCACCTCCACTACCTGATTTTCTTGAGAACAGGGACCATGGCATATTTACCTTTGTGTTACTGCCATGTAGACACCCAACATGTCATAGATATGCAAGAAGTACTTGCTGACTGATGAGAGAATACATCAGTCACCGATAAAATTGGTTATTTAAAGATGCATCTTCAATGGCTGTAGGACAGTTATGACAGAAAGCAAGCGTACGATCACTGCTATTCTAGGTGTGGATTTGATTAGAAAGATATAATGATTACTTTCATTGTATGATTTAAAATTTTAAGAAAATAATATGGTGATTCCTCAAAAAAGTAAAAAATTACAATATGCTACAGAAAATTTTCCTATGGGTAAATATTCCAAAGTGAAAGCAGGGTCCTGAAGAGATATTAGTACACCCATCTTCATATCAACATGATTCACAATAGCTAAAACATGGAAGCAACTCGTGTGTCCATTCACAGATGAATGCATGAACAAGATGTGGTATACCATTATAATGGATTTACTCATCATTAAAAAAGAAGGAAATCCTAACACATGCTACAACGTGGATGAACCCTGAAGACATTGTGGTAAGTGAAACAAGCCAGTCAACAGAGGGACAAACACTGTATGGTTCCTCTTATATAAGATCCCCTCAATAGTAAAATCATAAAAGACAGAAAGTAGAATGGTGGTTGCCAGGGGCTGAAAGAGTAGGGAAGTGGATTTGTTACTTAATGGGTAGGAAGTTTCAATTTTGGAAGATGAAAAGTTCTGCAGATGGGCGGGCAGTAGTGATGATTACACAACAATGTAAATGAACTTAATGCCAAAGAACTGTACATTTAAAAATGGCTAAAATGGTAAGTTTTATGTTACATATATTTTATCACAATAAATATAACAAATAATAACAAAAAAGAATGGCAATCAAAAAATAGCCCATGAGTTTGAGACCAGCTTGGGCAACACAGCAAGATCTGGCCCTCCACCCCCAGCGACAGACTGACTGACAAAATCATTACCTTTTAAAAAACAACACTGTGTTCAAGTAAAATGACAGACCATGTTCTCTGCTTGCTGCTGAGGTCACGAGGAGGATATCCTGGACACTTCCAACATGTTCCTTTTAATCTTACTCTATTCACTAATAATAAAATTCTTGAAATACTTAAAAAAAATTTATCACCTTAATTCATCTGTGTTTAATCATATCACTTACCACTTTAGAAGGCAGTTTCTGAAAAAGTTCACTAATGAGCCGTCCTGATGGATTTGTGGCTACAACAATGGCTTCAAGAAGCTGCTCCAGGATCTCTTTAAGGTAACTTGGAGAAGACTAGGAGACGCAGGGAGAGAGAAAAATACTTTGTAACAGAATCAATAAATACATGCCAAAAATTAAACTGCTTCTAAGATTACAAAGTAAATTCAAAAGATCAACTTTTAAGTTCAAGTTTCTAGAATACCACAGAAATGCTCTGATTGATGGACATGGGTTGTATCTCCAGAATGGCCTGTAAGAAACTAATGAGATTTCTACATTATTTCTGAAACTAAATCTCTTGGATCAGTTCCTTTCTGACTCTTCCACAGTAACACTTTCTTCTTCTTCTTTTTTTTTTTTTTGTGTGTGTGTATTATTGGGGATCGAACATGGTGCTCTAATACTGAGCTACACCTCCAGTCCTTTTTCTATGAGAAGAGAAGGTCTGAGTTGCTAAGGCTGGCCTCAAACTTGCAATCTTCCTGCCTCAGACTCCCAAGTAGCTAGGATTACAGTCGTGCCGACTCCACAGTAACATAATGAAAGCAAATTTCAAGTACCATAGGTATGAATTGATCAAAATGCATCTTTTTATGGTCTGAGCAACTGAACTTGGGAAAATATGCCCCACAATACTTAGCCATTTATACATCTACTGTTCACATCCACTAGAGTCATGGTATTCCAGTAGCACAATGACTACATATTATATAAAATTATGATTACATGCTATTAACCACTGGGTTCTCCACCAGGACTAACAATTGAATTCAAGTTATATCAAAAGTGAATGGAGCTAGGCATGATGGTGCATGCCTGTAATCTCAGCAGCTTGGGAGGCTGAGACAGGAGGATAATGGGTCATAGCCAGCCTCAGCAACAGCAAGGCACTAAGCAACACAGTGAAACCCTGACTATAAATAAAATACAAAACAGGGCTGGGGACGTGGCTCAGGGATTGAGTGTCCCCAAGTTCAATCCCCAATACCCATCCCTCCAAAAAAAAAAGTGAATGGAGGCTGGGTGTGGTGGCACACACCTGAAATCTCAGTGCCTCAGGAGGTCAAAGCAGCCTCAGCAACTTAGCAAGGCCCTTAGCAACTTAGTGAGACCCTATCTCAAAATAAAACATTAGGGGGAAAAAAAAAAAGGGTGACGATATGGCTTAGGGGTTAAGAGCCTCAGGGTTTAATCTCTGGTACCCCTCACCAAAAAAAAAAAAAAAAAGTGAATGGAGATTAAACTGATTCATACCATTTCAGCTCTTAAACAGATTGGTTTATACCTAGCTTAGTTACTGTTTCAACACAGGCAAGTATACATCCCAAAGAGTAATTGGCCAGGTAAAGTCCAAGTTTGAAGTAAGTTTCTACAGTCCAGGTTTATATTAAATAGTACTACAAGTCCAAACCATATTTTGTGCAGATGAAATATTAATGGTTATTATGGTTTAAATTATAAAAACATTTGGTATTTTTGTCCAAAACCAACAGAAACCTTTTTTATTCGGTGTGGTCTCAATTTGACAGAGAGGGCTCTAAGTCACTCAGGCCTGGCAATAACAAACACCTGGAAAATATTTAACATGTAAGATGTATGATTTGGTCAAAACTTCCAAGTATACAAGCTCAGAGAACCATCATGATCCTGCTGAAAGTAAACTGAAATTCCCGTGTTTAAGCCATTTGTGTTGTGGCTGAACCATGGTATCAGAGTTTGCTTCTAACAGGAATGTTTTGTTCTGTAGTTAAGAGACTCTTTTCCTCCCATACAACCTGCTACTCTGGATATTGCTGATGACAAATGAAACGAGGTATGTGAATATATTCATATGATCTTTCCAACAATCAGGAAAACTCCAAGGAAATCACTGATTGAAAAATTAGAAGCTTGAAGATTCCTTCCCTGTTCATAAAACCCTTAGGCTAAAAAAGTTTGGAAAGCATAAATATAAATGTGCAAGATCCTCCAATTTTTCATCTATTATACAAATAAAATAAATAAGTAAATATAGGCACTTTTGTTTTCTGACTAGAGCTGTGGATGCTGAAGTAAGGCTGGGCTTTAGAAATCAAATCAAATGTTCAGCCCAAGAAAGCCTGGGTTAAGTTGCTTACCCTGTACACACTGCAGAAAGTAAAATTCCAGGGAATCCCTATTATTAACTGTTTTCTATATAATTCCAATCACTTAATTTCTTCAAAGAACTTAATGTGGTACCTCGCAACTTATTTTGAGACTCTAAGTAGTAGTTTTGAGAACTTCAGCCACCACTGCTTATTTCTGTATTGGAGTTTCAACAAAAGGTCTATCTAGGTGACTTATAGAAAAAGTGGAATGCTCTGTGTTGTGCATTTTTTTTTAATTTATTTTTTTATTGGTTGTTCAAAACATTATAAAGCTATTGACATATCATATTTCATACATTAGATTCAAGTTGGTTATGAACTCCCAATTTGTGCATTTTTTTTTACAATACAGTTGCAGAAGAGAGTTCTAATTCCCCCCACTATTTTTCCCCCCTTTTTGAATGTTTTCATTAAGCAAATATTTACCAGTATCTACATGTCAGGCATAGTTTTGATGCCAGGAATAGGTGAACAAGATGCTACCCTTTGTGGGGCACGGTGGTATACACCTGTAATTCTAGTGGCTCGGGAGGCTCAGGTGGGAGGCTGAGGTAGGAAGAGCAAGTTCAAACCCAGCCTCAGTAAAAGCAAGGTGCTGAGCAACTCAGTGAGACCCTGTCAAGTGCCCCTGAATTTAATCCCTAGTACCCGCCCCCCCCCAAAAAAACCCAAATGCTACTCTTTGATAAGTTATCATTGTACTTAGGGGAAGACAGAAAATAGACACGTTAACTAATAAGTTATTTCACATATAGTAATAAAAAGGGAAGAACACAGGAAATAACAATGAAACATTGGGGCAGGTGAGGGTGAAAAGAGAGAATGTACAGCGATTTGGATGGGGGAATCAGGAAAGTTCTCTCTTGGTTGACACTATTTTTAACTAACATTAGAATAATAAAAAAGAGCCAGTCACAGGGAAAACCAAATGAAGCACAGATCAATTACGGAATTCATGAAGCAGAAGCACTCCTGGCAAGTCCTAAGAACAGTAACCACTCTAACCCATAAAAGTATTCCTAAGGTGATTCTATTGATTTTTATAATCAAAACAATGACTACCCTACATAATGTCTTATGTCCAGCAATGTTGGATTGGTCCTCAATAACACCAAGATTCTCTTTAAAACTGTGCATAAAACATGCATTAATATAAAAGCAATTCATAAAAACAACCATGCATGAAACACACTGTCCAGAACATCCAGGATCATTTGAAATTGGAGCTGGGCTCTCCACCTGAGAGAATTGTCCATTTACCCAGTTAACTAATACAACAAAACAGCACAGGAAGTCAGTCCAGCTTCCCACAATGGCCCAGAGGGAATCACAGGTAAGTGCCCCATCCACCTTCCCACAGCCCATCCATGACTGGTTCCAGCTATACACTTACTCCTTCAGTCACTGCGCCGTGATTGTCTTGTCCATCTTCATCATCATCTTCATCATCTGCTTCTCCTTTCTGAACAAACTCATTTCTTGTTCGAAGATACAAATCCCAGAGTTTGCAAGCAGCTTTATATTCAGGAGAATCTGGCTGTACATTAGCAAAGAGGGAAAAAACAAAATCACTTTAGTATTTTACTATAAATCAATTGCTACCTTTAAAACATCTTGTACCAGCAGAGGCTAGTATTTTAAGGCACAACTTTGAAAACTCTATAATCACACATTTTAAAATTCTTATGATTAGAAAATATGAGGGGGCTGGGGATGTGGCTCAAGCGGTAGCGCTCTCGCCTGGCATGTGTGCGGCCCGGGTTCTATCCTCAGCACCACATACAAACAAAGATATCGTGTCCGCCGAAAAACTAAAAAATAAATAATAAAAAATTCTCTCTCTCTCTCTCAAAAAAAAAAAAAAAGAACTGTATGAGCTTCCTTTAAAAAAAAAAAAGAAAAGAAAATATGAGGGCCTCAATCCCTCTTCTGAGAAATTAAGTGTATGGCTATATGGGTTTGTGAATAACTAAAAATTCTTGAATTCTACGGTTTAAAGAGAATGTATAAATTACATCTCATTCAAAAATATAGACTGATAAATTTGATTACATTAAAATAAAAAAACTTCTGTTCACCAGAAGATACTATGAAAATTAGGACCTGGGGGTGTAGCTCAGTGGGAAATTGCATAGGGTTCAATCCCCTACAACCCAAGAGAAAAATGGGCAAAAGACTTGAGCAGATACTTTTAAAAGGAACAAGAATGCCTCATAATCATTAGTGTTCAGTCTCTACTAAGAGAAGTATGAATTCAACCATAAAGAGAAAGCACTACTCAACGCCAGACTGGTAATATTAGAAAGCTAGGGAATTACCAAACTGAATAGTTTCCAAATTTGATGCTTTCTTACCTTATAATAGGCCTTTGCGTTGTTAAAAAGCAGTTGGAAGTCAGCAGTCAGCAGATTAACATCATCATACTCTTCCATTTTTAGTTTCTGTTGGATTTTCATCAAGTCAATGGGTTGAGAAACCACTTCATAATAGTCTGGTTGATTTCTGTTATAATTTAAATTTTTTTAATACTATTAATCCAAAAGTATACAAAAAATATATTTCAAAACTATCTGTAGTAACTTCCAACATTCTAAATGACAGACCAAATTAGAATCTGACATCAATCTCATTCCCATTATTAGAATAAAAGGGGAATAACAAAAGCAAGATGCAGGTATGCTCCTTTTTAAATATATTATTAATATAAAAACCTACAGTAATGTCCATGATGAATTTTTATACAATATTCATTATAAATGAAATATCTAAGGTTTAGGGTTCCAGCCCTAAACCCATGTAAATGGTATTTTCTTATAACCTTTCATGGTGTTTCAAAGTAGCTGGGAAAAGACACATTTCAAAACTCTCTACACTTAAAAAAAGGCTTATTTTTCTCTGGTTAGTGACCACAAAATATTTTCTTGTCAATAACTAACAAGTATCTGATACCTATGTTGCTTTAATATCAATCACTTAAGTTACAAAGGAGAAAGTTGGCTTAAGGATAAAAGGATAGTAAGATCCATCTAAACATGACCAGAATGTTTTTTTAAAAAAAAGGTATGAGAATAATAACCCCAAAATTCAGGATTATGTATATACTGGACGGCAGGGATAGTGAGGGACACAAAGGAATTTCAAAAGCAATTATGATGGTAAATCCCAAGGTAATTTCTCAGATTTAGATTCATGGATGTTTATTATTACTTCTTGATTTTTTCCATACTGTGTTTCATAAAACAAGTAAACTTTCTGAAAAATAATTTGGTTTTCTCAATTTTTCCCACAGGGCTAGGATGTAACTCAGGGATAGAGCATTTGTCCAGCATATATAAGGCCCTGGGTTTAATCCCCAGTGCTGGTTAAAAAAAATTCTTCCACAGGGGTATTTAGCTCCTTTCTAGAAATGTTAAGAGATGAGCTGTAACATACAAAGAATTTCATGATCATTGAAGCTTTAATCTCTCATGGGACCTTGTTTAACATGTTATAATCCTTTTTGAAAAAATATTTTTAGTTATAGACGGATACAATACCATTTTTCTATTTATTTCATTTATTTTTTTAATATTTATTTTAGTTTTAGGTGGATACAATATCTTTATTTTATTTTTATGTGGTGCTGAGGAGTGAACCCAGTGCCTCATGCATGCTAGGCAAGCACTCTACCACTGAGCCACAACCCCAGCCCCCTATTTATTTTCTCACTAAGTTGATGAGGCTGTTCTGAACTTGCAATCATCTTGTCTCAGCCTTCCAAGTCACTGAGATTACGGTGTGCGCCACCATACCTGGCTTAGGCTTCTATTTTCTATGTCCTTCTGACAAGTTCTCATCACCCTATGAGCACTTGCGTATTTCCTGGCACAATATAATGTTCCAGGTTCATTTTGCACTTCCTCTGCCCCATCCCCTGGAAATCAACTGTTTTCCCCAAGGAACTCTGATTCCTATCAATGATACATAGCATTTAAAAAACAAATCTGAGGACTAGGTTGTACTAACTTGTTCATTGCTACTGGGGTGTTGCTGCTTCCAAGTTGTCTCATGACACGGAGCTAGGGAAAACACACACACTTATTTACATATTTTGGAAACCATGAATTCATACCAATAGGAACAATTCCAATCCAACTCAGAATTCATTCCAACTACAATTGATGTTTAAACCAGAATACTGAGAAACAGTGGCCCTGATGTGCAGAGCCTGCTCAAGTCCATTTTCCCTTCTAGGATGATACTGCATTCTTAGCTGCTGTATGGCTACTAAAGACAATAGCCTTCAGCTTCACTACAGCTAGGTTCTGACAAATATAAGAACTGAAGTCTGCCAGATTTGGTAGTACACACCTGTAATCCCAGCAACCTGGGAGGCTGAGGCAGGAGGATTACAAGTGTGAAGCCAGCCTCAGCAACTCAGCAAGGTCCTGTCTCAAAAACTAAAAAGGAATGGGGATATGACTCAGTGGTAAAGCATCCCTGGATTCAATCCCAGTACTAAAAACAAACAAACAACAACAAAACCCCAAAGTATGCCACATTCTTATTAGACCACACAGAAAAGGGAGATACCCCAGAACACCAGAACAAAGAAATAGTACTTGAGACCTTAAGACTTCAGAGAGGACTTGTACACAAGAAATTCCTTTTGTTTCAACTTTGTTAAATTGAATGTACAAGTAACCTAATATGCTAACCAACACTAAGTCTCAAAAAGAGAGTCACAAATTATGTACCCTTAAACAATTAATTAATTAATTAATCTCCAATTAATGTCCGAGAGAGCATGCATTCCACAGAGACACCCATAGCACTAGCCTGCTGGTTGAGAGCAGGCAGCAGCCAGGAGTGGTGATGCACGCCTATAATCCCAGCGACTAGGAGGCTGAGGCAGGAGGATTACAAGTTCAAGACCAGTCTCAGCAACTTAGCAAGGCCCTGAATTACTTAGCAAGAACCTAAGTAGCAACTCAAGAGCCCATTGACACAAGAATAAACAAAATGTGATATTCATACACAATGGACTATTAGTAGGTCTTAAAAAGAAAGGAAACCTATTACATGCTACAGTGTAGATGAATAGTCTTGAAGGCCTTATGCTAAATGAAATAAGCTAATTATAAAAAATACAAACACTGTATGATTCTACTCATAGAAGTATCTAAAGCAGTTAAAATCACACAAACAGAAAGCAGAATGGTGGTTGTCAAGGAGCTGAAAGGTAGGAGAAATGGGAAATTGTTTAACTGGTATAACGTTTTAGTTTTGGAATATGAAACAATTTTTGGAGGCTGTTGCAGAATAATGTTAATATACTTGACCCTTAGTATGTACTTAAAAATAGTAAAGACTATAAATTTTATATTATGTTTTTTACTAAAATTGAAAAGCCTTACTATATCCTGACAACTAGGACTAAGAATGGACTCCCATATCTTTTAAGCCATTCCTTCCAAAGGAAAACTCAATCATCAAACAACTTTAAACATGGACCCTCCAACAAATCCTCCCAGTGTACTGATGTACTTCCAACTCACCTTCGCTTTGGTGCCCTAATGAAGAGCTCACAGAGGAGTCTGCCCTGATCATCCTTATAGTCTCGGATGGTGTTGTAGAGTTCATGGCAAACAGCAATCTACATGTACAAAGAGGAAACAAATTACCAAAAAATATCAATTACTCTTCAACAAAAACACACCCACAAAGGCAAATAGAGAAGAGGAAGGATAAATCCCCAAATTATCAGATGAGAACCCAAAGGTCTTATATGCCATGGTTGAGTGAAGCTCACCAGTCTCCTCCTACCTGACCATTTTCATTTTTTCTCTTCCTTTCTTCATGTACTAGGGATTGAACCCAGGGACTTGTTGCATGTTAGGCAAGCACTCTACCATTGAAGTACATGTGCAGCCCTTTTTAAAATGTTTATTTTGAGATAGGGTCTCACCAAGTTGCCCAGGATGGCCTCAAACATGCAATCTTCCTGCCTCAGCCTCCAAAGTAGCTGGAATTATAGGTGTGTGCCACTGCACACAGCACTCCTTTCCATCTCTCTGTAATGACAACATATCAAACCTATCCCTGGTCCTGCCACTCTGCAGGATTGGTACCTGCTCATCATAGAGAATCCTCCAGAAGATTCGGGCCAAAACAACTCCAACCACCCAAACATTTCTTCTTAGTATTTATCACTACTATGGGCATTTACTTGTTTACTTGCAGAACAATGTTAATATGTAAATTCTGCTTCTCCTATATTGAAAGCTAACTAAGCTCTACATGAAAAATGGGCTTGCCTCACACAAAAAAGCTATAGCCCAATTACCAGAACAGTACCCATCACATAGCAAGCATTCATTTTATTAAATGACATAATGATACTCAATGTTTCACAATACTAAATAATATAATTACCAATGAACTTGTGGCTAAACAAATACTTTTCATAAGAGAAAAGTTAAAAGATGAAGCCAGAGGAAAGAAGCAGAGAGGAATCTGAACTATTTCACCATAAAAGAAAGAGTAAGGAAATCAGGTAGAAACTGTGTGACCCAAGTTACTCACAGGATCTACAGTTGGAAGATTAGAAAGTCTCCTCCTTTTCCTGCTTGGGCCTGGTGTAGACACAGAATGATGCCCGTCATCAAAGTCCCCGCTGACACTGCTGGAAGGGGAGGTAGCTCTTCGTCTCTTGGAACCCATGGAATCCAACTTCTTCTGTAAGAAATAATTTCCATGTTCTTACATTTAAATTTTGACTCTGCCGACAAGCCCCTCAACTGGCTGCCTACTATCAAATTACTGCTTCATCTAAAAGGATATTTTAACTGAGGCAAAGGAGTTTAATTAGCTATAAGCTCTTTTTCATTTTTTTTAATTCAAGTCCTGGACTTCACCGTTTCAGCCTCTTTACTTACCAGAATGCTACACTTTAAACTTTGATGAAAAAATTCAACAGAAGTATACTCATTTGTATATCACCCATTCTGAATGACTCAACCACTTCTGGCCCCAGATTTAGTCTGGACTGGAGTTTTCCAATCCACCACATAGAGGTACAACAGTGTACTAGAGGTATTGATCCCTGAGCCTCTGAGACAGCTGGGTAGATCTGGGGTACAGAGGCCCCAATGTCATCCCTGCTGGAGGCTACTTATGATTATTCTCCAAATGGGCCACAATGTGGAGAAGACTAGAAAGTAGTGCCTAAGGCAAATGAATAGTATAAAAAAGGCGGGGGGAGAAAGTAAGGGAGAGAAGACAATTATCTTTCAAGCATTGCAGATGTATTCAGAAATTAATAACCCAGAAAATGAATTTTTCCCATTTGTTACAGCAGGACCCACAAGATATACCCCTGCTAATGCTGTTAACGTGTCTTGTCATTCCTGAAGTAGCAAAACTGTGCTGTGAAACTCTTCTAGTAATCCAGACTAACCTCCCTTTCAATTATATGACATATTCTAAGCCTCAAAATTTGAAATCAAAGCTTTACTCTCATTAAATTATCTGGAAAAGCACCTCATACATGAGCTTTTAAATCCTGCTTGAAGGTTCAGAAACACATAAATATTTGCTCTCAGTTTCTGACCAACTGCTAAGAAACTAATCTTAACACAACCTTACAAATATGTTAATTTGACTATAACATAAGAAATACAACCATTAAAATGATCTGATATTGATACACGGAAAGGTTATCCATCCAAGAAAGTTCTACAATGCTTATACAATTTAGCAACAGTATCTAACAGCACATTATGATTTCAAAAGTCTTTTACTAAAGCTAAAAGAAAAAAAGATCCCAGTTTTACTCATTAACCTTCCATTTCAGGAAACCATGAATGAATAGGAACCACAGAGCACTGGCTGCCAGTAGTATGGAGAGAGAAGCCTGGGATCTTCCAGAAATAGAAAATAGAGTAAAACAAAAAATCCTGGTAAGCAACAGAGACAAACAGAGTCTCATTTCTTCCTCTAAAGAAGTTCTCCTGGTATTTAAAACAGAACCTACTGTGATGATATTCCTTCCTCTAGGCTTTTGTCTATTATATGGGATATCAGAGTTTGAAGTTGGCTAAAACCTCCCAAAAGCTTAGGCCAAGAAAAATCAAGTTGTGTTTGATTTTTGTTCATTTTATAAAAGGCTGATAAACTGGCCTCAGTTCTTTTAAGTAGAAAAAATTAAGAACCAATCCTTTGTAAATAAGCTATGACAAGGACACAGGTGAATTTCATGAACACAGGAGGGACTCTTTTTGGAAAGGATTTAAGAAAGGTGGAAGGGAAAAGGCAAGGAACAAAAGGAAAAGGGTTTAGATGATCAGTAATTTACCAGCTTTACCAGAGCACAACCAGCGCCTCGAAAAGCCAGTCTCCTCATTATGTCTGAAGGCCAACTGAAGCCAGTGAGAGAAGGCAGGGCTTTAGAAGTGCTGATTCAGTGTTAGTATATTCAAAACTGAAAAAGAATAAGGCAGAGAAAGGGGAAATAGAAAAGAAGGGTCAGAAAAAGTAAAAATGAGTACATAGAAAACATTCAAATAGAACTGCTATAGAAAGATAGAGAAAACAGGCATATCAGTTGTCTGACACCTATCAAACTGCTGCAAAGGCTCAGGCACCAACAGTACCTGACATATCTTCCATCTTAAAACCAAATGCTTTCATATACTGAAAGATGTCTCACTGAGACTCCCCTTCACTCACATGGAACGACTGTCAATTCCAGGAATGAAGCATGTCTGCCCAACTGCCCCCTAGTCAATAAGAGCAGAGTTCAATCACAGAGCTGGAATGGAGAGTGAACACATGTGGGAGGCTCACATGTGACACCAAGTGTTGGTAAGCTGGAACAAACCCAGAATGGCTCATGTGAGCAGAATCTAGAAAAATGCCCCACTGTCCCAAAATTCAGAGAAAGACAAATTTTTCCTGAAAGTCCTATCTGTATTGGAAAGACATCACATGAATTTAGTCTTCAACTATTTTGATAGTTCACAATTACTTTTATAAATTATCCATTGAGATCAAATGACCAAAAAAAAAGTAATTACCAGTGTATGTAGTTTAGATAATGCAATATCCAAAAATCCTTGAATCATTATTTGGTAAGATACGAAAATGATGCAACTGAAAGATAATTTAAAAACTTCTTTTAATCCAAAGAGTAATTTGGAAGTTTGGTAACAAAGGCAATGTTCTAAGGTGGGAAAAGTAACAGGACCTATGCTGAAAGATTAGGTGTCTCAGATCTTCCACCTCTAATTATGTTTGATATTGCCTGAGTCACAACCTCTCAGATCTGTTTCTTCACTCCTAATGTGAGAACAGTAAAATATATATGTGTGTGTATATATATATGTACATATATGAATTATTAAGACCATATACACATGAAATCACCTTGACACTTCAAAGCTTAACTCTAGGATTACGGAGTCTGCAGGCACAAGAGCAGGGTCTCCTTTATTTTTGTAATCCTGTCCTGGAGAATAGCATTGGGTACAGGCTGGACGCTCAATGTACCTTTTAAATAAAAGTATTTAAAGTGGAGCTTAAGCAGGACCTTTAAAATTAAAGTTTATTTGAATAGTTTAAAAAGGTCTGTAAGCATTCCTTCAGAA